ATTGGATTGACTGCTCACGTTACCTAGTATCGGTTCAAATCATCTCAAGCCGCTCCTAAAGACAGGCCCATGAATGTGAGGTCGCCGTTGCCGTGTCAAGTTGTGACCTGATCTCTGAGTAGAGCGGTCTCTGGGCATGGTCTCGTCATCCTCCGTACTTTGGAGAGTCAGTTGCGGTCTTGCCACTACTGAACAGGCTAACAGCCCGTTAGGATGATGTGCTGGTGGGGAATGTGGATTCTCTGTTTGTCACCAACCACGAATGGGACGCTGTCCACCCCATCTAGAGCTGCACAAAATGCTGCTGTTCTTTCGCCCTTGTTCACATTCGTGTCAGTGCCGTTCTTTCGTACATGCATTCACACACTGAGGTTTGCGGACAGAGTGCTGATGTTCGGCTCTGGTTTGCCAAGCTCTGCAAAGCCTCAAGCTCGGCGATTCTATTTGAAAGCCTACGGCTCTTCGGCAGGGCCTGGGGATACTCAGATCTGGGACAACTACCAGAGATATCTCGAACGGACCTCTATACTGGTCCCGGTGCCACCGTCGCTCTACAAACGGTTGCCTGCTTTCGCCAAGAAGACCGTTCTATTTGATTTCCCCATGTATCAGTTCAATGTCGAGAGGGATGGCCCGCCAGCTATCGAAGAAGAGCAGAGGAGGGCTGCCTGAGGGGTGTTCCGTCAGATCCCTTACCTACATAGGCATGCCTTTTGAACGTGACCGCACGCGTTTCGTGTCTGTCACTATCATAAGTCTGCGGATCTCCTTTAGGCAGTATGTTTGAATCCAAGCTTCTCCTCTTCCACGCAGATTGTTGCATTAGAAGTAGGTCTGGTGGGCCCATTTCGAGGCGGCTTATTTCATCTGTACGTCAACCAATCTTGGTTGCTCGTGCTTGCCTCGTGGCTGGCATAACAAAATGGGTTCGTCGTCTTCTAAATCGCGCACTCGGGCATACCCTCTCGTGAATCCTGCTATTCATGTTCCATACGGACACAATCCCAACGCGTATGTCAACGCCCACTTCCACCCCAACGTTCCTCCAAACAGCAAGAAGAAAAGAAAAAGGAATCGCAAGGAGTCACGACGAGAGGGTAATGCACGGGCTTTTGTGGAGGGATGGCATATTGGAAACGGAGGGATACCGGGAATACGTATGTTATCCATCCGAATGACTTATAGAACATAGACGGACTAGAGCAGAACCTCAGCTGGTCCCACCCGTGAGCCAACCTACGGTACGCGGTTCGGACAGGTTGGATCTCGAACTCATCTATGTCTAGGGTACCTCTGCGCCTGATAACGCAGCTTCGACCTTGATGCCCCAAGCGCAGCCAGAATTTGCAGCACCCGTGAATTCAATTGCACCAGATCCAGCTGCAGTCTCGCAGCCGACACTAGCGGCAGTCGGACCAGACATGGCACGTGTATTGGAACCGCTGCCCCCTGCAAATCCGGAGGTCTATGGACCTCCTTCCCAGCCTACTTTTCGGCTGCTTGACAATCCCTTGCCAACACCCCCGCGTGACCTGTACGAATTGTCCCCGTACAACACGCTTCTGGATCTCCCTCATACACGAGCGTTGTTCACCACGACTCACAGCCAGCAAAGTCCGATATCTATGCCCGCAAATGGGAGCTATGGCCGTCGCAACGGTGGCCGGGCCGGGGGGATCTTGAGGGCGATGATGGGGCGGAGGAAAGAGGATCAGATTCAGCTTGTTCCCGTGTTTATGCAGGCTGCTCCGGCCCAGACAACGATGCCACAGCCTGCGCAACACAGGGCGACACCAGCTCTTCTTCAGCCTCTGGCAACACCGCATTCGGCTCAAACAGCTGCCCCGGGTCTGCTGCCGACGGCGGCTCCTGATACCGTAATCCGCTTTCCGAATGAAAACCCAGAGTTTCTGGGCTTTCTCAGCTATTCGCCTCATCATGTGATCGATGCTGATGGGTCCAGATATCCTACGGTCATGCATCTGTACGAAGCCCAGAAATTCCTTCCGCTGTATCCTCAGCTGGCGAAACGCATCCAGGCCTGTTCAGATGTGACCCAACTACATGATGTGGATAATGAACTCACCGCGACCCACCCACACGCAGTGCGATCTGATTGGAGCGTAGTTTTTCTGCAAGCGGTGAGCTAAAACCAACTAATGATACCTGCCTATGCTGGATCTTCTCTCAGATGGAAGATGCCGTCAGGAGAAAGTTCCAGCTGCACGCTAATCTTCTCGATCTATTGCTAAGGACGGGTACCTTACCGCTGGTCTATGCCGGTGGAGCCGACACATTCTGGGGAGAGGGTCTGGATGGACAAGGATTAAATCAGTTGGGCTTGCTCATGCAGCGAGTACGAGAAAGTCTTCGGAGCGAATCAGGGATCCCTGGGTGAAGCTGGTCATCGGTCTTGTGATATATTATGGTACAGGCTGTGGATTTATGACATTCTTCTTCAATCGTTCGTCTGCTCGGCAGTGCTCACGCGTTGTATGCTGGGTTCGATTATCATCGGCAACGAGACATCAACCAGAATGTCATTGAAAGACATTGGACAATCAATCAACGCCGTTACCATCGCACATACATATGACTGATGATAACCAAATAAACAGACATCTATGAAGCTGGTCGCCCGCACCCCCCGGATACAATTCCGCCAACAGCTCTCACATATTGCAGAGCATGAAGATCAAAGACGAGCCAAGCACGCCACCAGTGACAGCAACCAACCAACCGCCAATAGTGGGGAAAACCGAGACAAAAGGACCATCCCAGGTCAGGGGGACAGTCAATCCTAGGGCAGGCGTGACGGTTAACTTGGCAGCGGCGCAGTTGGCGGTCCAGCCAGCAAGAACCTGGTTCGAGCCAGCGCGCAAGTCCGGGGCAGGCACATTAGCGGCAACGATCGCGTTGAACATGCAAGTCTCGCATTCTTGGAGAGGAATCGTCGTCCCGTTGCTGCAAAGACAGGCCGAATCGGTGACTGCGCAGGCGTTGATCGTTGCCTGTGCCGCGGCACATTGTGTTTGGCACTGGTTTCGAACGTTGATACACAATATGAACGAGAAAGCAAGGGACGCACGCTAGCGAGAACTGGAGTGTAAGTGAGGCTCAATACTTCGCTGGCTTGGTAGACGGTGTTGGAGGGAAGGATGGAGACGTTGAATGCCATAGCTGTTTGAAGTTAGTCCAACAGCCAAGAATCGACAGTCTCGGGCCTACCTCGGCCAGCGAGGACTGTGATCAGAGCGGCGGAAATGAGATTGGAGAACATAGCGTCAAACAGAACGAGAGAAGACGAGAAAAGCCTGCCAGAGGAAGTGGTAGAAAGAGGAGACGAATGTGATTGTTGGTACAGATACTGGACAACAGAGACACACATGGATACGACACAGCCTTCTTGATCCAAGAAAGAAGTACATCATCTTACAGCGGTCATACAATGATATAAAGAAGCGACGAATCGAGCTCGAGTTGAGGGGAAATAATGATACGAAAGCAAATGAAAGCAGATGTGGTTCATTCCAATCGAACGACCGTATCCTCGGCGGTCAAGACCTGGGGGAGCATTGTCTGAGAATCTGACACAGCCGACGGCTTCAAGTGGTCATTGGCCCAAATGACAGGTGCATTCTTGATTGATTCGGCGAAGGCAAATGCGACCCCGACTGCAGCTGCGGTGACCCGCAAACGGACGCCGAGAGGATCCTGCGCACCCGCAAGTCCTGTAGCGCTTGGATCGAGCAAAAACTGCATCGCCAGGCGAACAATGGAAGCCGTCAGTGGGTCAAACGGGGCGGGGCTAGTCAAGGTTGCCGATGGAACAGCGGGCGAGAACGATATGAGTGTGCCAACCAGAGCTGGAATGAATAAGGTTTGGAAGAACCAGATCGCGAGGGTCGGCCAAAAACAAGGTTGAGATACGGTGATAGAATCCGGATAGAAGATAGATGATGTAGTTGCTCCGATTTTGACCTGGAAGCCCGTCAATGACCTTGAGGTTCAGGTCATATACCAGTAGACGCACCTCGAAAGTCTGCCATATCGTTACAGATTGAACAATATACAAGAACTCGGCGACAACTGTTAGGGTCCATATATTTTTTGAGTCGGACAGAAACTGATGAGAAGCGTCAATCGTGGCATCTCATGCATTGACTGGTAGGAGTAGCACTCACAGTGCGCAAGGACAGTATCCCTTCATTCGCGGAGCGTAGAGCATGTTCTTCGCCCAGCTTGATGCGTTCGGCGCCTTGAACGAAATCTGAGCGAGGTGGGAAGGGTCCGATACTCTTGTCAACTATGTGGACTTCCCGACCTTGATCGGGGCTATCGGGAAGGTGAGGTAGACTGCTTGGTGTGTTAGGCGAGAACGGGTCCGCTTTGAGGTAGGCAGAAACATCACGTCTGTCGACAGGCGTGGACTCGCGGATTGGATTCATGATAGTGAGTTTCCGAACAGACGGTTCGGCACGCCTGGTAACATAGAATCCGGAACTATTGCAAACAGCAAACAGGACTCACGGAACACTGCGCCGTCTTCTACCGCCAAATAGGCCCGAGAATATGGGGTCATCCTCGAGATCTCCTTGATTGGCGTCAAGATGGCGCTTGATGCGCGATTGAAGGTCGTCCTTAGTGCCGCTGGTGTCTATCTGGAGGGCGGTAGCAATTTGCTGCAATTCAGACTTTTTCTTGGGCGGGAGAGCACCAGAGAAAAGGATTGGAGCCATGAAGTTATGGGCGACCACTTGGTTGGTCGTAGTAATTCAATGTGGTCAGCAGCAGAACTGGAAAGGGGTCAACGTCAACAAACGCGACTGGCACGTGCCCTGTGGCGTCACACTTTCCTAATGTCACTGAAGCACGGGTTATGTTCCATGCCGCTTAGTCACCCTTGAGGTTTTGGGTCTGCACTCTTCACCTATGGCCTTACAGTAGCTACAGTCGCACATTCTGCATTCTGAGATACTGTCATCGGATTAGGGATGGAGAGCGGGAAGACGCAGAAGAAAGAAATAGCATACACGCATATAATCAAGCGACTAAAATGTAAATAGATCGCAAACAAAGAATGGTAGGGCTATACAGTCACGTGGAACATTCCCACTCCTGAACACCAATACCTTTTTCACCTGCATACAGTCTGTGGAGCGTCTCTCTCATTGTTTTCCGGCTTCCTTACGCACAACTCAGACCGTCGATGCAGATCTTCGTCAAAACCCTCACTGGGAAGACGATCACCCTCGAGGTCGAGTCCTCGGACACTATCGACAATGTAAAGGCGAAGATCCAGGACAAGGAGGGGTGCGTCGCATACCCAAGTCCTATCGACTTCTCTTCAACTCTTTCCCACCAGCATTCCACCTGATCAACAGCGCCTGATCTTTGCTGGCAAACAACTGGAGGATGGCCGCACTCTCAGCGACTACAACATCCAAAAAGAGAGCACTCTCCACCTCGTGCTGCGTCTGAGAGGCGGTATCATCGAGCCTTCGCTCAAAGTTCTGGCCGGGAAGTACAACTGCGACAAACAAATTTGCCGCAAATGCTACGCCCGTCTTCCACCCCGTGCGACTAACTGCCGCAAGCGGGGATGTGGCCACAGCAGCCAGCTCCGCCCGTACGTTCTTCATTATCGCTATGCCTGTCATTGTGTATTGAGTTGTTGTTTAGGAAGAAGAAACTGAAGTAGGCGTCCTGTCTTCTTCGTGGTTCACCAGAACGCATGTCCTCCGACAGACCTATGCTTACAATCCATTTTCACGTATGCGTACTTGTACCACCTGACGAATTATTGACATGCTGCCATAACTTTCTGAGCTTCCTGAGTGGAAGTGCCCAGGACAGGTAGTGTGACGCTTTGCACAGATGAGTATTCTGCGACGTTCTTCAGGGTATATGGAGACTAGAGTCGAATCTAGTCCTTACGGTGACAGCTGCTGGTCTTACCACCTGTTACCGGCACTTACAGAAATTGGGTTTTCTCGTTAAGACATTTTTTCTGACTTCTTGGGATGTGCTGCATAAGGGAAGAAGGGCTAAGGCTGGAGAGCAGAGCATGGTGACTGGAGAGTAGAGACACTCCAGGGAGCTCCAATTCATTTCATTACATAAATGGGCTTCTGTTGAGCACTGGGGAGAGTGTCTAGCAACCCACCTGTGTGAGTTGAGAGCTTAGTGTGGGCACTATGCGGGAGTAGTCAAGAGACTTGTATTAAAGGGTAATAGAGCCCTCCTTATATATGATACAGGGGGCTGTTTGTGTCTATTTAGGATGAGTCGACATGACTCTAGATGACACGTGATGGAGTCATAGATGTGTATCACGACATCCATCTTGACAGATGATATTTGATCGACACTCCCCCACGCTGAAAACCACGGGATAGTGTTTGAAAGCGAAATCTTCATTGGCCATTCCTTCAGGACGAGTTGAACTCAAGTCCTAGTTCAGACCTGAACTTCTCAAACTTGACGCGTCCTAGGTTCTTGGTGAACATGTCTGCAGGATTCTCACTGCCCAGAATAAAGAACAGTTCAACCTCTTCTTCCTTGACTCGCTCACGAATGTAGTGATAGCGGATGTCTATGTGTTTCATCCTGCGGTCTCGGTAGGCATTGCTGCCACTGAAGAGTGCACCCTGATTGTCACCGCAAATGGGTACTGGGATGGTGAGCTTGAACTGGAGTTCCAAAAGGATGCTCTTCAGCCACATCACCTGGCAACTACAATCTGAAATCGCCATGTACTCTGCTTTGGTCAAAGACTGCGCAACAGTGCACTGAAGTCTAGACTGCCAGCAAATAATCCCGTCTGCCAATTTCGTGAAGAAACCAGTGGTAGACCTCCTCTTGATCAGATTAGCAGCCCAGTCTGAATTGCTAAATGCAATTAGCCCTCTATCCGTCGCACCATTGAAAATGAGCGAATAATTCCTAGTACCAGCCAAATAGCGGCAGATATACAGCGCTTTATGTAGGGTACTGTTTGTTTTTCGGTTTTTAAAACATGTTTATAAACACATGTTTATAAACATGGTTTTCAATTTGAGTCCCGGAATGCGCCGTTTATAATTGATACATCATCCGTCAATCAAATTTGCTGTGCCACCAGCCGCGCTATCATCTTCGCTGTCACCACGTAGCACATGGCGCCACAAGGTCTAAAAACTGCAAAGCAAACTTCTGCCGCCCGTGGGGGCGGTGCGTCTTACTACTCCGACGAACTCAAGGAGCTGCTCCGCCTACTCAAGGCCCTCCCTGACACCATTCCCATCGGTACTGAGCACGACTTCATCAACTTCGAACCTGATCCGGAGAAGGTGGTGGACTTCGGCGATGAGAGGGCTGCTGTGAACCAGGCCGTGGAGGTGTCATTTGGTGCGCGAACGCTGCCAGGAAAGGACGAAATGATACCTGTTGTCTTCAAAACACGTGGGCCTGCTCTAGAAGCAATCGTCGAAGTCTTTCGTCAGTATATCACTGGGTCGGGGGGTAGTAATGTCATTATGTGCAAATGGGTGGATGATCTGCGAAGTTCTGCAAAGAAGGCAATCTTAGACGCCAATCAGACGGTGCGTGCCATGCTGTAAGATGGTAAGTGTGCGCTTATCAGATGTGCGAAGCTTCCTCGGGCGATCCACACAACTGCTGCCAAACGATTGTTGGAGGAGGAGGAAAACACGACCAATTCAGCCAAGCGGAAGAAGAAGGATCTCGCTGCTGTCAAAGGCCAGTCCAAAAAGGATCTTGCCGCCGCAAAGGAGAAGACAGAGCAGGGCAAGGTATGTCATCATATTTGATTCAATCTGATGCGCTGTGAAAGCAATAACAGATCCCTTGGGACTTTGACGATCTTGAAGACGATGTGGTGGAGCCCAAGCTGGCAAAACGCGGTCGCGGAGCTCCCACAAATAAGCTCCTCGACCGTCTCGTCATCCCTTGTCATTCCATCACTGACAAGACAAAGAAGCGCTTCCGTTGCATGGGAGACAGATGTAAATGGAGCTGTTCGGCGCCACGGATGTCGGGCCGCATCCTCCCACATGCGTCAGAGTGTGCATACTTCCCCGAGGAGACAAGAGAAGATGCCTTGATGGAGAATGCTGAGGATGCACTCGGAGCCCAAGTAGTGCTGGATGAGGACGACGAGGACAACAATGAGAAGGAGCCGGGGAAGGACGCGTTTGCGGCATTTGTGAAGACTGGGCAGGACGAACGTGTTGTGAAAACCAACCTTCTTGCACTTGAGCTCTGGTGCAGTGCTGGTCTTGCCCTTCGTCTTTTTGATGCGCCGCGGTTCCGGAAGTGAGTTTTTCACATGTCTTAGGTGTGTTTGAATACTGAACAAAGATGAGGTTCATGAATCATCTTGATCCCAAGAACAAAATCTATGTGTCAACCACGTTCTCTGAGAACAAGATCCCAGCCGAAGCCGCACGTATCACTGTTCTTGTCAATCGGCTGTTGCGGAAGCAGCAGAATCTGACGATCAGCTACGACGGTGCTACAATCAAGAAAGGAGAATCGATTTACACCTTCCATGTCACTACCCCGGACACCCGCATCTCTTACTTTGTCCATGGCGATGTTGCGTCGGGGCTCTCGCATACCGGAGATCACATCAAAGCAGCGGCATTGAAGGTCTGTGTGCAGTAGACTAACCATCATAATGTGCCTCTGACTTCGTCGATCTTTGTCAGGTCATGGATCGAATCGGTCGCTCAAATTTCTCGGCTGTATCTTGTGACAGCACGGGGAACACAAGACTTTCGCGAGATCTCTTGGTTGATGAGATTCCGACACTGACTCAAGCACCAGACCCGTGCCACCACGCGTCAAATCTGATCAAGAATATCTGCGCAATTGAGTATTTTGTCATGGTACGTGTACTCATAATTCTGGCCCAGCTCGAGATTCATTCTTTTGAAGCCTATCCTCAAAATTCGAGACATAGTCTCGCACTTTTCGCAGTCGACACAAGCCTCTACTCATCTTGACGGGATGCGTGTGAGTTTAGGTCTCAATCATGGACTTCAGAAGATCGGAAAGACTCGATTTGGGACGGTCTTTTGGGCCACTTCTGCACTCGACCCTCTGTTACCACCCATTCACATGCTCGTTCAAACGGGGGTCGTTGCTACTAACTCTCAGAATAAGGTGTGCTTTGTTCCTCATTCGCGAAACAAGAATACTGATATTTACTGTCAGCATGGACGCAATCTCTCATGGATGAAGAACCTGCGTGAATACACTGAATTCCAGCTTCACGTGAAACAGCTGCTCGCTGTGCTGGAGCCTATTGCACGAACAATCAAATGCCTTGAAGGGACTCAGGTCACCACCGGAGACATTTGGATGTTCTTCGTTGCGATCACTGCGGTTCTCGACGACTTGTTCACCAGTAACGAGCTCGGTATTCCGGACAACACTATGGACGAGATTCGAGGCCATGTGAACAATAGATTCGAGCAATTGATTGAGGGACCAGACGGCGGCGTCTATCTGGCCGGATTTTATCTCAATCCAGGTCTGATTTCTCTCTCTGTCTTCGATACTCCCTAACTTGTTCACAGACCGTGTTGACAGTCCGATTTTGCGCGAGACAACAGCCAATCGTCTCGCCCGTTCAGCAACAGCAACTCCAATGTCTACGGGCTCATCTACCGACAAGGATCTTCGCGATTCAATCCCAGCCTATGGGACAGTCGGAGCGTATCTTTATTCGCTGCTACAACGGGAGATCAAGGCGGAACGAAATCCGCCGCAATTTTCAGGGTACAAAAAGAGTGCTGATGTTCTCGGCGCGTTTCGGGCCCAGTTCGAGGCTTACACGCGTCAGCATGCGCCGTTCAGTGCTCGATCAAGTGCATGGACAAAGCCGTACCTTTATTGGATGGCAATGAGCGATAGACCCGATGCCGGAATTTTGGCGGTGAGTACCAAAAGTCTTGACATGAACCATCCAATATCTAGCGCGATTTCTAACTATTTCCCGAAGTATCTTGCAATTAAAGTCCTCAGCATTCTTCCAAACTCGATGGCCGAAGAGCGGACAGTTTCTAATTTCACCAAGCTCAACACCAACGACCGCGCAAATCAAAGTGCTAAAACCATCATTGCAATGACGAAGATTCAGCAGCATCTTCATCGAGAAGATGAGCGCAATTCTCCCGTTTGTTCATTGCCCAAGAGTTCAAACTCCCTATTGATTTGCTTCCAGGATGATTCGGCCAAACATCCACCCGTTCTTCGATGGCGCGTGGTGAAAAAACTTATGCCATTCAAGACAGGACAGTCAGCAGAGGCGCCCGCAAAGGAGACCGATTCAGAGATCAATCAGGATGGGCCTCTATCCGAAGAATGCATGGCCGGATTGCAATGCCTCGAAAAAGACTCTCCCGGAGAATGCGACAAATCTTCGCATGCTGCCACTTTCTGTGGCATTGAGTCTACCAGTGTCAACTTTCGACATGCTTTCTTTCGCGATCTCCTGAGCGACGAACCTGTCATTGGTGCAGATGAAATTAAATCTCTTGGTGAGACTGATCTTGGATCCCAAAATACTGTTGGTAAGGGTAAGGTGAAACTTATTATTGATGACCTGATGGACGAGGACGAGTTCTAGATAGTCTCAGGTAAATAGAATTATAAACATGTTTGTAAACATGCTATGTTTTTAAAACACGTTTATAAACACGTTTCTGATTCCCCAGAATCATAAACAGTACCCTAGCTTTATGGAGGTGGTCTTGGGACGGATTGGCGGCAAATTGTGACAATTTGGTCACAGCAAATGCAATGTCAGGACGTGTGCCTAGCATAATGAAGAGAAGAGATCCAATTACTGATTGGAATTTCTTCCTGAGCTCAGGATCGACTTCATCCTTGTTTGGCATTGGAACATATCCAGCCGGTAGAGGGGTCGCTGCGAGCTTGGCATTCTGCATTCCAAAGCGCTCTAGCACCTTGTCGAGATAAGGAATCTGATCAATCTTGATTGAAGATCCTACTCTACTGAGGCGTACGCGCAAGAACTCTGGAGTATCTTCAGAATTGCGGCATTGCCATTGCTTGTTGAACTCAGCCTTGAGAAAGGCGAGGAGCTGTTGAGGATGGGTTTTGGACTTGATCACTCTCTGGTGATTGGGTCACATGATTAACTGATTCCATCTGATCCTATCACTGATCACATCACTAATGATATCTGATTCCATCACTGTTCCCATCATTCCATCATTCCATCATTCTGGTCACATGATTCCTATACAGTCACATGCTCTATCCACATAGATAGTTCCTCCCTCCCTGGAGTTCTTCAGCTTCTTACTGTTGACTCCAGGTCTGTAGATTCTTTTCTTGTTTTCTCTTGCAATGCAGAGCTTCTTACTGTTGATCCAGTCCTCTCTGCATTTCCTGCTTCAACAGGTTGTGGGCCCCTGCCTCTGGAGTGCCTCTGAGTCATCTATTCTGAGATTTTCGAGTTTTTTGTTGAAGCAGGAAATGCAGAGAGGACTGGATCAACAGTAAGAAGCTCTGCATTGCAAGAGAAAACAAGAAAAGAATCTACAGACCTGGAGTCAACAGTAAGAAGCTGAAGAACTCCAGAGAGGGAGGAACTATCTATGTGGATGGAGCATGTGACTATACAGGAATCATATGACTTGGAGTCATGTGACCAGAATGATGGAATGATGGGAACAGTGATGGAATTAGATATCATCAGTGATAGGATCAGTGATAGGATCAGATAGAATCAGATGATCATGTGACCCAATCACCAGAGAGTGATCAAGTCCAAAACCCATCACCAACAAAAGGGTCACATCACCACCAAAGCAAAACCACACACTGATCTCCTCCTGCATTGGACACGTTGTCCAAACTGTCTGAGCCCATGTCAGAACCTCCTGAATCCTCTCCACCAGCAGACAGCCCAAGTGTGTTGCCTGCTCCTACTCACACCAAACCTTCACGCTGCTCTTCCACACTGTTCACTGCGCCAATCATGCCCCTCAAGGACCACGAAGTCTTGGAACTCATATCCGGCAAACTGCCACGTTTCCACACTGGGCCTTTGACCACAGATATTCTGTGCCATGGCGAGAATGCGTGCATTTCCTGGTTCAAACACAAGGACGTTGACAACAACAAACAAACCTTGTACCTCATTGAGCTCTTTGAAGATCCGAAAGTCCACTTGTATTTACTTGCCGATGCTGCTCACATCAACACTCTATCCACAAAGGAGTTCTTCAAAGACCTGACATTGACTTTCCTGCCCATCAACTGGGATGACAATGTTTGCACCAAGCTCATGAGCACATCAATGACAGCGACTGCTTCTTTTCAGGAGTACGCCAACAGATGTTTCAAGCCAAATGCTCAACTGGCTTGCGCTGGAAAAGCACTGGACCCTGTCAAGCTTTGCCCCATCCTGGAAGCTGGCATGGACCGCGGCTTATACACATGTTACCGCAAGGATAAGATCACAAAGGATCTACCTTTTTCCACCGCCTATGAACTTGCCGCATGGATCCGCGAAGTCCACTGCGTTGATGAAGAGCACCTTGAAGGGATCGAGAAGCAATGCACCATTTTTGCCAAATTCCAGCATAAGAACATGGGGTGCAAGAAGAAAGACAAACATCGCACCATGACAAATGAGGAAGAACATCCGGCAAAACACGTAGTCGGCTTATCTAAATACAATGTCACGACAATTTTGTTGAACACCTTATGACTGCCAAAGCTCACGGAAGACAAACGGAACATACTGCATGCTAACAATGGGTGCAATATCTGTCGCAAGGTCTTCGTCGGCAACAACCATCAAGGTTGCCAGAACTGGCCAGATGCTTTGACCTATGTACCAATTACTGAACAGACAGTCATGGCTGCAAAAGCTTCGCATGCCGCAAATGCTGTCAAGAAGAACAGGAAGTTGGTGGCTATTATCATGCCAAACATTGTCAATGACAACTTGAGCTTTGAGACGGACAACAGCCTGGACCACGTAAGTCCTTGCTCTCATCGTCTCCCCCACCTCACCTGGGACTGTCTCATCAATGGTCCTATGTCAAATCTCTCTTTATCTGTGACCTCGCTGATTGACTGTGGTGTACACTTAGTCTTAACCAACAAAGACCTTGTCGAGAAACTGGAACTCTGCAAATTTTTGCTGAAACGACCTGAATCAATCACACTTGCAATTACAAACAAAGAGAACCAATCCTTGACAGAATTACACTACTTTGTAAAGCTACGTTTAACCTCACAAGATCAATCCTGGACCTCATCCACTGTATGCACCGTTGTCGCACCTTTGCTATGTTTTCCAATTGTACTTGGCCTACCATGGCTCTTGTATAATAAGATTGTTGTTGAACACCACACGTGCACAGTAGTCAACAAACAAACAGGGTACGATCTGCTGAACCCACTGGTTTGCTCACCAGTGCACCCGTGGTAGTCCCCATGCAAGCAAAGGAAGATGATGAAACACAATCAAGAATTAATGATGCGTGAGTTAAAGAATGTCTATGCAGCACGTGGACTGGACATGGAACACCAAAATGCATTTGAGGCAGTGGCCCCAGCGGATGTGATTGGTGCAGTCAGAGCACGCATTGAAACACTGGCACGCTGGGAAGACCTCCAGAAGCGCGGAGATGCACTGCAAGAGAAATATGCGTCCATCTTTGAGCCCATACCGCATATTGATGCTCTGCCAGACAAGGTTACTGTTGAAGCAGGAAATGCAGAGAGGACTGGAGTCAACAGTAAGAAGCTCTGCATTGCAAGAGAAAACAAGAAAAGAATCTACAGACCTGGAGTCAACAGTAAGAAGCTGAAGAACTCCAGAGAGGCAAGAACTATCTATGTGGATGGAGCATGTGACTGTATAGTAATCATGTGACTTGGAGTCATGTGACCAGAATGATGGAATGATGGGAACAATGATGGAATCAGATATCATCAGTGATGTGATCAGTGATAGGATCAGATGGAATCAGGTGATCATGTGACCCAATCACCAGAGAGTGATCAAGTCCAAAACCCATCACCAACACTCCCCCGGGATGAGATCAGTCTCTCAGCCTCTCTCCCGCAATCTCATCAGTGTGCGCAACCTTGCCACCTGAGGCCGAGGCAGCGCCTTGGTCAGGATGTCAGCCAGCTGGTCCTGCGTTGGCACATACTTCACATCAATGAACCCTCTGGCCACTTCATCTCTAAGCCAGTAGTGTGCCAGGTCCAGATGCTTCATACGCCCATGGTGTTCAGGATTCTTGGACACAGATATGGCAGACTGGTTGTCCATCATCAAGGGAGAAGCCCCAGACACACCATGCTCCAGCTCATGCAGCAGATTCCGCATCCACTTGATCTCCTTCCCAGCATCCACACCAGCCACATACTCTGCCTCAGTGGTGGACAGAGAGATGGTGGACTGCAGCTTGCTCCTCCAGCTTACTGGTCCACCAGCCATCATAATGACATACCCCCCAGTGCTTTTCATGGAGTCCTTGTCTCCAGCATGATCAGCATCAGTGAAGGTGGTGAAGAGGTCGTCAGGATGGATGTGGGTGGCTGGGTCATAGAGGGTGGGCGAGGATTTGGAGTAGGTGATGCGGAAGTCAAGGGTGCCCTGGATGTATCGCAGCAGGTGCTTGACTGCCTTCCAGTGCTCTTCACCAGGATTGCTATTGAAGCGCGCTAGCACCCCCACAGCATAGGAGATGTCAGGGCGAGTCTGACAGGCCAGGTACATCAGAGAGCCAACAGCAGACAGATAGTTGCCCTTGAACTGCTTGGACTCCTCCTCAGTCTTGGCTCCCATCTCCTTGGTTAGAGACAGACCAGGCAGCATGGGGGTGTCCACAGGCTTGCAGTCAGCCATGCCATACTGCTCCAGGAGGTTCACAGCATACTGGCGCTGGGAGATGCTGATGTCTCCAGTGTGCTCATCACGCTCTATCTTGATCCCCAGAAGCCACTCTGTGGGACCCAGATCCCGCACCTTGAAGGCCGTGCCAAGCTGGGCAATGACCTTGTCAATGTCAGCATCATGCTTTGCAGCAAGGGTGCCATCATCAACATAGATGGGCAGGATGACGCGGACCACACCATCAGAGTAGATGTGGCAGGAGCTGTCTGACTTGATGCACTTGAACACCATAGCAGTCAGCTTGGCAACCAACTTGATGCGCCACTGGCGGCCAGCCTGCTTCAGTCCATAGATGGACCGGTTCAGCTTCAGCACCTGGCCCTTCTCTCCCTGAGGGAACCCTTCTGGCTGAGTCATGTAGACATCCTCATCCAGGTCCCCATTGAGGTAGGCAGAAGAGAAGTCGATGGAGCGCAACTTGAGGTTGTTCTGGGCAGCCAGAGCAAGGATAACGCGCAGAGTAGCAGGTCTAAAGGTGGGTGCAAACACCTCGTGGTAGTCAATGCCATAGCGCTGGCCACGACCATCTGCCACAAGTCTGGCTTTGTAGCGTTCCACAGTGCCATCAGACTTGTGTTTGATCACAAACACCCATTGAGAGCGGATTGGCTTGACCCCTTGTGGCAAGTCGACCACATCCCATGTGCAGTTGCTGAGCAGAGAGTCAATCTCAGATGCAGCTGCAGCGCGCCATAGTGGACCATCCTCCCGCTTGGACGCTTCAAAGAACGACCTGGGGTTCCCAGAGGCTACAGCAGAGAACACGGACTGGACTGCAGTAGCGTGAGCTGCTGCCAGCTTGGGATCTGAGGGGTCACCCTCGCGAGCCACAATCAGGGCTGAGGATGACTTCAGAAGCAGCTCATCGTCGCTGAGGTCTTCAGGGATCTCTTCAAAGATCTCTGCCATGGTGCGCCTGGGAGGAGCAGCAGCTGGAGCTGGAGCCCTCCTGGGTGGTGCAGGAACACGATGGATGCCAGCAGCAGCACGACGAGCTGCCACCCCAATTGGAGATTGGGGAGGAGGAGGCGAGGGTAGAGGGTGAAGCGGGGCATCCCCAGCTGGTGGTGGAGCTCGACGTAGAAAGTCGATTTCATCATCACTGCTGGCTGCAGGAGATGGGACTCGTGGTGCAGGGAGAGGATGAGCAGGCGGCTGTTGCTGCTCATCATCACTATCGTCATCAGGGACATACACCGGTGCCGGAGCACGGGGGGGATCCACCAGCATGGAGGAGGGGGGTGCCGCAGGACAGCTCCTCATCGCTTGAGAGGTGCTGCCTGGGAAGTAGCGCTCATCAAACACTGCTCTCTCAGCGATAACAAGTTTCCGAGTCTCTGGGTTGAAGAACAACCATCCCTTGTACCCTGCAGGATAGCCTACAAAGATACACTTCTGGACATGATACCCAGAAGGACCTCTCTTGTCTCTTTGCACATGCACATAGGCAAGGCATCCCCAAACACGCAGATGAGACACATCAGGCTTTGCCTTGAACCACAGCTCATGGGGAGTCCTGGTAGGGTCTCGAGCTGTGGGGTGCATGTTGCACACATGGATGTATGCAGACACCGCCAGTGCCCTGAATGCAGGGGGCAGGTTGGCTTCGTGTAACATGGCAGTGGAGTGCTCATCAACGGTGCGGTTAGACCGCTCTGCTGTCCCATTCTGCTGAGGCCGCGCCCTGACTGAATGGCGGTGCACAATGCCACACTTGTCCAGATGTGATCTGAACTCATTAGACATGTACTCTCCCCCTTTATCGTCCTGGAATGCCTTGATCTTTAGCCCCCAGTGAGTCTCAGCATACGCTTGAAACATCTTAAGGGCTGCAAATGTCTCACTCTTGTTCTTCATGTGGTATGCTACCTTGAAGCCAGTGTGATCATCAACAAAAGTCACCCTGTGCTTCCAGCCCTCGCGGGTGGGCACAGAGTAGCTCTTTAGATCAGAGTGAATCAGATCAAGAGGCGCTCCAGAACGATGACCAGTTGAGGGAAACAGGCCAGCATTCAGCTTGCCAAAGAGGCATGGCTCACAGATGGGGTCTGGCTTCCTGGCAGAGGCAAGCCTCACACCAGTAACCAGCTCTTTATCCATGACTAGCTTGGTATCACTGTGGTGTCCAAGCCGCCTGTGCATCAGGCTGAGGTCAATGGGAAGAGTCCCAGCTGTAGAGACCAGTGCTGAACCAGCAGAAGGGAAACCAGTCTCTCTCACAAATGCCTGACCCTGCTCTGAGATATCTGCCACAAAGTACACTTCACCATTGCGCTTGAACAGGATGTAGTTCTCCTTCATGAGCACAGTGTAGTCATGGTGAACTGACAGGTATGTAGTGGAGATCAGATTGTGTGACAGAGCAGGGACATAGAGCACATTGGAGAGGATCACAGACCGGCTCCTGGCATGTCCATGGATTAGTGGCCTAAGCACTATCTCCCCCACAAGCTCTGAATAGACCACAAGTCCATTAGCCACTCTGATGGGTGCCCTATGAGGACGAGTGTTCTGCAGCAGGTGCACACAATGGGTCATGTGTGATGTAGCACCAGAATCTGCAATCCACCTCAACTCAGGGTCTGCAGTGGAGTGGGAGAGAAGGCTTGTATGAGTGGCCACTTCAGACTTGACTGCACCCTTTCTAGGCCTAGGCCTAGGCCTTGGCTCAGGCTCAGGCTCTGGCTCAGGCTCAGAAGCATTGTCCTCTAGGAGAGACAGAAACTCTGGGCATTTTAGGAGTGTGTGGCCATGTTGATAACAGGCATAACACAATGGCTGAGCAGAAGCAGGTGCCGCTGCCAGGGCAGCAGAAGGAGCAAAGACTGATGGATGAGAGTGGGAATTTGATGCCATGCTGTGCTCAAAAATGCGCCCAGAATGATGTAGGAGATGTATGTATGTAGCTACAGGCTCTCAGGAGTGTGTTGATCTCAGGCACCTAGCTGTCTCAACCTCAGGATCACAGGAATGACTACCTGGTGTTTCCTGATGGACCAAAGAGCACACCCACTTAAGGATAGAGTCCCAACTACTAGTGCCTGAACCACAGACACTATAAGAGCAGAGAAAAAAAAACAGAACAGAGGGGAGCAGAGATGTCAACTGCAGTAGCAGGACTGGGGCAAGCAGGCAGCAGCAGGCAGAGAAAATCAGAGAATGGAAAAAACTCGAAAATCTCAGAATAGATGACTCAGAGGCACTCTAGAGGCAGGGGCCCATAACCTGTTGAAGCAGGAAATGCAGAGAGGACTGGAGTCAACAGTAAGAAGCTCTGCATTGCAAGAGAAAACAAGAAAAGAATCTACAGACCTGGAGTCAACAGTAAGAAGCTGAAGAACTCCAGAGAGGCAAGAACTATCTATGTGGATGGAGCATGTGACTGTATAGTAATCATGTGACTTGGAGTCATGTGACCAGAATGATGGAATGATGGGAACAATGATGGAATCAGATATCATCAGTGATGTGATCAGTGATAGGATCAGATGGAATCAGGTGATCATGTGACCCAATCACCAGAGAGTGATCAAGTCCAAAACCCATCACCAACAGTTACATGCTCAATCAAAGTGAACAAGGCAGATTTAAGTTTTAAGAAACGCTCCTATGGTGCGCGCCACTTAGTCACCACTACCTGAGTAACAATGTTACTAGTCACGCAGTTTTTTAGCTATTTTTTTTTCCTCTTGGGATTTGACTCCTTTTCATGCAAGGAGTCGAATGGCTAGAGGGATGAGCCATAGCTAAATCACTGAGAAAGTTATAAATTTTCAGCAAGGTCAATTTGGCAGTAAGTAGAAAAATTGGTATTTATTGATCAAAGGAGCAGGCCACAGCCTCGGGGATCCTTCTGTGAAAACTTGTAAACTCTTGACATGAACTGGTGGACCTCCAATTGTGCATCAGGAGCCTTCAATCCCTTCCAATATGCTTCCATCCATTGAATCATCCAATGCTCCCATCTTTGTATTGTCTTGACTGGAACTGAAGCAAGGGCGAGGGGCATGTTATCCTACTGCTCGAGAAGAGAAGGGAATATAGATGAAAAAACTATGGTGTAATCAATATGTGTCGAAAAAATCTCGGCCTCCGGCCAATTTGGCAGTTGTTCTGAGGTAGCGGTGACTAAGCGGCGCGCACCATACCAAAGTCCTCGAAGATACAAGGAGGCATGATGTCATAACTCAATCATTTTTCACAATCATTCCATCGATTACCTTATCTTATCATTGACATGGGACTATCTTATCATGGATCATAGCATCACACAGTCCGGGTTTAGGATTCAAGAGGGTTATCTGTACAAGAGGTCGCGCAACGTGTGCTCCAGAAGTCTATACTACAACCCATGACCAAGGCTCCACACAGTACATAGTCAGATGACTTGTTTGATGTAGATAAGACTCAGACTGGACTTAGTATAAATACAGTAGCCATTGTGTTGTATTCTCCAGTCTTGGAATTGACTTGTCTTTTTGATTGTATTCTGTGTTGAGGATGGGTTTTGGACTTGATCACTCTCTGGTGATTGGGTCACATGATTAACTGATTCCATCTGATCCTATCACTGATCACATCACTGATGATATCTAATTCCATCACTGTTCCCATCATTGTTCCCATCATTCCATCATTCTGGTCACATGACTCCAAGTCACATGATTCCTATACAGTCACATGCTCTATCCACATAGATAGTTCCTCCCTCCCTGGAGTTCTTCAGCTTCTTACTGTTGACTCCAGGTCTGTAGATTCTTTTCTTGTCTTGTCTTGCAATGCAGAGCTTCTTACTGTTGACTCCAGTCCTCTCTGCATTTCCTGCTTCAACATTCTGTGTGTCATAATTCGACTCTTTTTCATCTTATCATTGACAATCTTATCTTATCTTGGCACGACTTATCTTATCACGGATCACGGCATCAGACGGTCCGGGCTAGGGGTTCCAGGGGTTATCTCTATTGATTCGAGGCTGCGCGACATATGCTTCGGAAGGTTCTACTACAACCCATGACCAGTGCTCCATGCGGTACATAGCCCTATGTCTCATTAGTTGTAGATATGACTCAGACGGGATTTGGGTATAAATACTGTAGCTATTTGGTTGTATTCTCCAGTCTTCGAATTCACTTCTCTTTTCGACTTTGTTTTTTGGGTTGATTGTCACATAATTCGGAGACTCCCCTTATACCCTCGTACCTCTTACCTCCTACCCTGCATCACCGCACCGCTATGCCCGCTATATCCTCTTCACCCTTATCACCCCACTTACCCTTTTACCGAATCATCTAGTCGTCCTCTGCAATCGCAGTGAAGGGTTCATATCGAGCAAACAGCACCAGGCCACGGGTAACGTTGAGCCCGACCCAAGCCTTACGGTAGCTACAAGGAGTACTGCGGAGACCTTCGGGAAAACGCACCTCGGGATCATCGGGCACGTGAAGAGCTAGGCCCGGGATCTTTTTGCTAGCAAAAGAACCTTTCCTCGAGTGCTTGTACAGCACACGAATCCACCATTTCGTACCGATTCCCATCGTCATCTGGGAGTCCATCCCCTCCCCCCATCATACCATCGTCGCCCGATCTGGCGCATCAAAACCAACCCGGACCCTCCAACCCCTACCTCGCCCTTCCGCCGCCTGAAGACGAGTTCCCCGATCTTGGCGAGTTACCCTCCGAACAACCACCCTCGCCCCCACCTACCACACCTGTTCCTACCATGTCAGGACATCACCGCATCACCCTCGCCGCCAATCCCCCCTACTTTGATGGCGACAAGTCCAAGTACCTGGGCTTTGTGGATGCGTGCACCACCTACATCGGTGCCTATCGGTCGGAGTTCTCGCTAGACGAGACAAAAATCCTCTTCGTCCTATCCTACCTCCGTAATGAGATTGGCACAAGCTGCACCGCCTCGAGATGGGCGATGAACTGGAAGCAGCACAACTTCGAGGGCTTCCAAGGACTAAAGGCGGGAGTCACCGCGACAAGCTTCTTGGAGGAGCTCCAGAGGGCCTTTGGGGATTCTAACGCAGAGCAAGTCGCTGCCGCCCGACTCATGGCCCTTCGCCAGGGCAGACGGTCCTTTGCGGACTACATCTCCAACTTCGAAATGCTGGCTGCAGACGCAGGGTACAACGTGGTCACCTCCACTGACAGCAAGGGCGAGTACAAGAAGGGGGAACAGGACAATATCCTCATCGAGTTCCTGGAACGCGGACTCAGCAGCGAAATTGCAAGCCGCCTCTACAACACCGGCGTTCCCCTGCCCAAGGCATATGGTGCCTTCAAGAACTGGTGTGTCAACATCGAGGCCAATGCCTTGCGTGACCAACTGCGTAAGGCCTCGTATGCGCACTCGACTCCACGGCCTCCCTCCCAATTCCACCCTCAGGCAGCACCAGCTGCGCCCACGCCTGCTCCGGCCCGGCCGGCTGCCAACAAACTGGTCCCAATGGAAATTGATCGCACCCATGCCCGCGGCCGCAATATCATCTGCTACAACTGTCAGCAGCCTGGACACATCGCGCGGAATTGTCCGGAGCCCAAGAAGAAGCGCACGTTCTTCAATCGGGCCACAATGCTGGAAGAGATCGAGAACGGGGATAAGGACAACGAGTTCCTCAAGGAGATTGCTGAGAAGCTGCGTGAGAAGGGTTTTTGAAGCGCTCCACTCCTCTAGCCAACGCACCAGGGTGCCAGATGCCGTCCAGAGGAAATTGACGGCCGAGAAACAGAAGGGCCCCCAGCCCAGCAGGTTGGCGCAGGAATTGCGCAGTTACCAGGCCGAAAGGAAGAGGCATTTGATGGACGTATATGTCCAGATCACGGGTCTGGACTCAGGGAAAACGCGCGGAGTCAAGGCGCTACTCGATTGTGGTTGCAGTACCTGCTGTATCGATACCGACTACGCACGGGTGGAGAAGTTGGATATCCAGGAGCTCCCACAACCCATTGTGGCTCGTAATACCGACAACACCGAGAACATTAAGGGGCGGATCACGCACTACGTCGACCTGAGGATGAGAATCGGTCCTCATGTGGAGACACGCACGTTCCTTCTGACGTGCTTAGGGAAAGCCCGGATCTTCATCGGTCTTGATTGGCTGATGGAACACAACCCCGAGGTGGATTGGCAGGAGCAGACCATGAGATTCAGCCGATGCCCAGAGCGGTGTCACATGAGGGGTCACGAGGAACATCAAGCAATAATTGACATGGATGCAATCGACCTGGATATGGGCACACCGGATCTGGAAGAGGGAGAATCGATCCTGTTGGTCGATTTTGGGAAGGAAGTGGACCTGCGGCTGAAGGAAACGCCGGCGCAGAAATTCGCAGAGGAAGCAGAAAAGGAGAAAGAGAGAATGACCGAAGGAAGAATTCCGGATCAATATCGGGAATTTGTCAAGGTATTCGCCAAAGAATCGTTCAACTCACTACCGGACCGACGGACATGGGATCATGCAATTGAGCTCAAACCTGGTTCCAAAGCAGTGGACTGCAAGGTGTACCCGTTATCACGCAATGAACAAGTCAAACTCGACGACTTCTTACAAGAGAACCTGGCCAGTGGACAGATCAGGCCATCAAAATCACCCATGGCATCAGCATTCTTCTTTGTCAAGAAGAAGGATGGCTCTCTACGCCCCGTCCAAGATTATCGGAAGCTGAATGAGATGACAATTCAGAATCGATACCCGCTGCCGCTGATCTCTGAACTGGTCCATAATCTATGTGGCGCAAAGTTCTTCACCAAGCTCGACATCCGGTGGGGATATAACAATGTACGAATCAAAGAGGGCGACGAGTGGAAGGCTGCATTCCGCACGAACCGAGGGCTGTACGAGCCCTTAGTTATGTTCTTCGGTCTCACAAATTCCCAGGCAACGTTCCAAAACATGATGAACAACATACTCCGAGAGTTGATCAACGAGGGTCACGTGGTAGTCTATCTGGACAATATACTGATCTTCACAGAAAACTTGGACGAACATCGGCGGATCACGAAACGAGTGCTCGAATTGCTCCAGAAACACAAGCTATACCTGAAGCCCAAAAAGTGCGAGTTCGAACGCACGGAAATCGAATATTTGGGTGTAATTATTGGACACAATTTGATGCGGATGGACCCAGTCAAGATCAAGGGCGTGATGGAACGGCCCAAACCAAAGAGCGTCAAACAGGTCCAAGCTTTCCTCGGATTCACAAACTTCTATCGGCGCTTTGTCCGGGGATACGCGGAGGTTGCCAAGCCATTGACACGGCTGACAGGGAAGGCAGGATGGTCATGGGGTGCAGATGGGCATGCAGCATTTGATGGATTGAAGAAGAGAATCGCGGAGGATGTGGTCCTAGCACTGCCAAATGACACTGGCCAATATCGTCTGGAAGCCAATGCTTCGGAAGGGGCAACAGGATCAGTTTTGAACCAAAACCAAGACAGCATTTGGCGCCCAATCACATTTATTTTGCACGCACTGACCGAAACCGAGCGAAATTACGAGATCTACAACAAGGAAATGCTTGCAATCATGCTATCATTGGACGAATGGAGACAGCTACTACTGGGAGCCACAGAGACGTTCGAGATCTTCACTGATCATCAGAATCTGGAGTACTTCCGGAAGCCGCAGAAGCTCAATCGACGGCAAGCACGATGGATCACGGAGTTGGCGGAGTTTGATTTCACCCTACGACACCGGCCCGGCGCACTCAACCGCAAGGCGGATCTCCTGTCTCGACGAGCAGATCACGATCAGGGCAAGAACAACAACAAGGACGTCATGCTACTGAAGCCCGAGTTCTTCCGATCACAAGAAGTCACATTCGAGGGACAGGATCAGCAGCTAATCGATGAAATCAAGGCCATTCGATCAATTGATGGAAGCGTCAAGGCGGCCTTAGAGAAGTCACTCGTCGGATGGAAGAAGGAAGAGGGGCTCATCACGTATCACGAGAAGCTCTATGTGCCAAGGGATGAGGAGCTGCGGGACAAGATCATTGGGCTACACCACGACACACCCCTGGTCGGACATGCAGGGATCAACCGAACGCAGGAGATGGTGGAAAGGAACTACTGATGGCCAAGGATGGGAAACCAAATTCGGAAATACATCCAGACTTGCGAGGCGTGCCAGCGGACCAAGACCAGGAGAGCCAGGACAGGGAGTTTGCACCCGCATGCAGTTCCAAACGCGCCGTGGGAAATCATCTCCATGGATCAGATCGGACCCTTGCCGGTCAGTAACGGGTATGACGCAATTCATGTGTGGTGTGACACCTTCACCAAAATGATCCATGTCGAACCAATTAGTACTGACATCAGCAGCGAAGGAGTGGCACGATTAACCAGGGACCGAGTCTTCCGCTACCACGGGATACCTCGCAAGATCATCACCGACAGGGATTCGCGTTATATCAAGGGCTTCATGAGGGAGACGAATCGGATGTTGGGCGTGGAAATGAATCCGGGGACCGCATATCACCCAATCACGGATGGGCAGACAGAACGCATGAATCAGGAGATCGAGCATTATCTCCGCATCTACGTCAACTACCATCAGACGGACTGGTCGGAGTGGCTAGGGATGGCAGAATTCGCATATAACGATAAAATGAACATATCTACCAAAATATTGCCATTCTATGCGAATCACGGATATCACCCATGGAAGGGAGTGGAGCAACGCATGGAGTCGAGAAACGAGTCGGCGGAGGAATTTGTAAAAAGAATCAAAGAAATACAAGACGAAGCAAAAGCAGCACTAGAAAAAGCAAATGAAAAAATGAAAAAATACTACAATAAACAAAGAAAAGAAGTTCCGGAGTTGAAGGTTGGGATGAAGGTGTACATAGAAGGGGAAAATATCGAGACGGATCGACCATCAAAGAAGATGAGCGACAAGAGACTAGGGCCATACGAGATATTGGAGAAGGTTGGAGCGGCTGCATGGAAGCTGGATTTACCGGATACGGACCGAAGACATCCGGTGTTCAACGAGTCACTGTTGACACCCTATCACAAACCACCCCCCCCCCATCGCCGAGAGAAGAGGCCTGTAGCCAGGATGATCGGAGGAGCAGAAGAGTGGGAAGTCGAAGAAATCGTGAAAGAGCGAAACGTCGGCCGAGAAAAACAGTACTTGGTCAAATGGAAGGGATGGCCGCACAGCGAGAACACCTGGGAACTATCACGTCACCTTACCCACGCAAAGAAGGTCCTGAGAGATTGGCAGAGGAAACAATCCAACCCAGACACACGCATTCGCCTCCTGCCAACTCTCGAAGCCGGACACTGGGATTATCTCATTCATCGCTACAAACCCAAAGACGAGCGCCTCCCATATCCCCAGCGACAACTGTTCGATTCCTACGAAAACGTCTTCACGCCCATTGGCCTAGTCGATGAGGACATTGACCCTAGAGAGGGGGTAATGTCATAATTCGACTCTTTTTCATCTTATCATTGACAATCTTATCTTATCTTGGCACGACTTATCTTATCACGGATCACGGCATCAGACGGTCCGGGCTAGGGGTTCCAGGGGTTATCTCTATCGATTCGAGGCTGCGCGACATATGCTCCGGTAGGTTCTACTACAACCCATGACCAGTGCTCCATGCGGTACATAGCCTTATGACTCATTAGTTGTAGATATGACTCAGACTGGATTTGGGTATAAATACTGTAGCTATTTGGTTGTATTCTCCAGTCTTCGAATTCACTTCTCTTTTCGACTTTGTTTTTTGGGTTGATTGTCACATAATTCCAAGACTCCCCTCATACCCTCCTACCTCTTACCTCTTACCATTGCATCCCTTGCCACTACGCCTGCTATATCCTCTTCACCCTTTTACTGAATCATCTAGTCATTCTCTGCGATCGCAGTGAAGGGTTCATATTGAGCAAACAGCACCAGGCCACGGGTAACGTTGAGCCCGACCCAAGCCTTACAGTAGCTACAAGGAGTGCTGCGGAGACCCTTGGGAAAACGCACCTCGAGATCATGTTGAAGTAGGAAATGCAGAGAGGACTGGAGTCAACAGTAAGAAGCTCTGCATTGCAAGAGAAAACAAGAAAGAGTCTACAGACCTGGAGTCAACAGTGAGAAGCTGAAGAACTCCAGGGAGGGAGGAACTATCTATGTGGATGGAGCATGTGACTTGAAGTCATGTGACCAAAATGATGGAATGATGGGAACAGTGATGGAATCAGATATCATCAGTGATGTGATCAGTGTTAGGATCAGATGGAATCAAATGATCATGTGACCCAATCACCAGAGAGTGATCAAGTCCAAAACCCATCCTCAACAGGTACAAGGGATGGTTGTTCTTCAACCCAGAGACCCGGAAACTCGTTATCGCTGAGAGAGCAGTGTTTGATGAGCGCTACTTTCCAGGCAGCACCCCTCAAGCCATGAGGAGCTGTCCTGCGGCACCCCCGTCCTCCATGCTGGTGGATCCCCCTCGTGCTCCGGCACCGGTGTATATCCCTGATGACGATGGTGATGATGAGCAGCAACAGCCGCCTGCTCGTCCTCTCCCTGCACCACGAGTTCCCTCTCCTGCAGCCAACAGTGATGATGAAATCAACTTTCTACGTCGAGCTCCACCACCTCCATCTCCACCACCAGCTGGAGATGCCCCGCTTCACCCTCCACCCTTGCCTCCTCCTCCCCAATCTCCAATTGGAGTGGCAGCTCGTCGTGCTGCTGCTGGCATCCATCGTGTCCCTGCACCACCCAGGAGGGCTCTAGCTCCAGCTGCTGCTCCTTCCAGGCGCACCATGGCAGAGATCTTTGAAGAGATCCCTGAAGACCTCAGTGACGATGAGCTGCTTCTGAAGTCATTCTCAGCCCTCATTGTGGCTCGCGAGGGTGACCCCTCAGATCCCAAGCTGGCAGCAGCTCACGCTACTGCAGTGCAGTCTGTGTTGTCTGCTGTAGCCTCTGGGAACCCCGGTCGTTCTTTGAAGCGTCCAAGCGGGAGGATGGTCCACTATGGCGCGCTGCAGCTGCATCTGAGATTGACTCTCTGCTCAGCAACTGCACATGGGATGTGGTCGACTTGCCCCAAGGGGTCAAGCCAATTCGCTCTCAATGGGTGTTTGTGATCAAACACAAGTCTGATGGCACTGTGGAACGCTACAAAGCCAGACTCGTGGCAGATGGTCGTGGCCAGCGCTATGGCATTGACTACCACGAGGTGTTTGCCCCCACCTTCAGACCTGCTACTCTGCGCGTCATCCTTGCGCTCGCTGCCCAGAACAACCTCAAACTGCGCTCCATCGACTTCTCTTCTGCCTACCTCAATGGGGACCTGGATGAGGATGTCTACAAGACTCAGCCAGAAGGGTTCCCCCAGGGAGAGAAGGGCCAGGTCCTGAAACTGAACCGGTCCATCTATGGACTGAAGCAGGCTGGCCGCCAGTGGCGCATCAAGTTGGTTGCCAAGCTGACTGCTATGGTGTTCAAGTGCATCAAGTCAGACAGCTCCTGCCACATCTACTCTGATGGTGTGGTCCGCGTCATCCTGCCCATCTATGTTGATGATGGCACCATTGCTGCAAAGCATGATGCTGACATTGACAAGGTCATTGCCCAGCTTGGCACAGCCTTCAAGGTGCGGGATCTGGGTCCCACAGAGTGGCTTCTGGGGATCAAGATAGAGCGCGATGAGGACACTGGGGACATCAGCATCTCCCAGCGCCAGTATGCTGTGAACCTCCTGGAGCAGTATGGCATGGCTGACTGCAAGCCTGTGGACACCCCCATGCTGCCTGGCCTGTCTCTGACCAAGGAGATGGGAGCCAAGACTGAGGAGGAGTCCAAGCAGTTCAAGGGCAACTATCTGTCTGCTGTTGGCTCTCTGATGTACCTGGCCTGTCAGACTCGCCCTGACATCTCCTATGCTGTGGGGGTCTTGGCACACTTCAATAGCAATCCTGGTGAAGAGCACTGGAAGGCTGTCAAGCACCTGCTTCGATACATCCAGGGCACCCTTGACTTCCGCATCACCTACTCCAAATCCTCTCCCACCCTCTATGACCCAGCCACCCACATCCATCCTGACGACCTCTTCACCACCTTCACTGATGCTGATCATGGTGGAGACAAGGACTCCATGAAAAGCATGTTGAAGCAGGAAATGCAGAGAGGACTGGAGTCAACAGTAAGAAGCTCTGCATTGCAAGACAAGACAAGAAAAGAATCTACAGACCTGGAGTCAACAGTAAGAAGCTGAAGAACTCCAGGGAGGGAGGAACTATCTATGTGGATGGAGCATGTGACTATATAGGAATCATGTGACTTGGAGTCATGTGACCAGAATGATGGAATGATGGGAACAGTGATGGAATCAGATATCATCAGTGATGTGATCAGTGTTAGGATCAGATGGAATCAGATGATCATGTGACCCAATCACCAGAGAGTGATGATCAAGTCCAAAACCCATCACCAACACTCCCCCGGGATGAGATCAGTCTCTCAGCCTCTCCCCCGCAATCTCATCAGTGTGCGCAACCTTGCCACCTGAGGCCGAGGCAGCGCCTTGGTCAGAATGTCAGCCAGCTGGTCCTGCGTCGGCACATACTTTACATCAATAAACCCTCTGGCCACTTCATCCTTGAGCCAGTAGTGTGCCAGGTCCAGATGCTTCATACGCCCATGGTGTTCAGGATTCTTGGACACAGATATGGCAGACTGGTTGTCCATCATCAAGGGAGAAGCCCCAGACACACCATGCTCCAGCTCGTGCAGCAGATTCCGCATCCACTTGATCTCCTTCCCAGCATCCACACCAGCCACATACTCTGCCTCAGTGGTAGACAGAGAGATGGTGGACTGCAGCTTGCTCCTCCAGCTCACTGGTCCACCAGCCATCATGATAACATACCCCCCAGTGCTTTTCATGGAGTCCTTGTCTCCACCATGATCAGCATCAGTGAAGGTGGTGAAGAGGTCGTCAGGATGGATGTGGGTGGCTGGGTCATAGTGTTGGTAAAATGGCTGAACCAGGAATTGAACCTGGGACCTCTGATAAGTGCAACCAGTGCTCTGACCAACTGAGCTATTCTGCCGATAGTGCTTGGGGCTCATACTCCAACACTCCCCCGGGATCCATGCACTCAGGCAGAGGGAAACCAGGGTTGGCACCATTTACCGGTATAGCCAGACGATGCAGTGGTTCACGCAGATGTGTTCCAGGCTGGCATATTGTCTGTGAGTTGCTGCTACCATGTTGGTAAAATGGCTGAACCAGGAATTGAACCTGGGACCTCTGATAAGTGCAACCAGTGCTCTGACCAACTGAGCTATTCTGCCGATAGTGCTTGGGGCCCATACTCCAACACATAGAGGGTGGGAGAGGATTTGGAGTAGGTGATGCGGAAGTCAAGGGTGCCCTGGATGTATCGCAGCAGGTGCTTGACTGCCTTCCAGTGCTCTTCACCAGGATTGCTATTGAAGCGCGCTAGCACCCCCACAGCATAGGAGATGTCAGGGCGAGTCTGACAGGCCAGGTACATCAGAGAGCCAACAGCAGACAGATAGTTGCCCTTGAACTGCTTGGACTCCTCCTCAGTCTTGGCTCCCATCTCCTTGGTTAGAGACAGGCCAGGCAGCATGGGGGTGTCCACAGGCTTGCAATCAGCCATGCCATACTGCTCCAGAAGGTTCACAGCATACTGGCGCTGGGAGATGCTGATGTCTCCAGTGTGCTCATCACGCTCCATCTTGATCCCCAGAAGCCACTCTGTGGGACCCAGATCCCGCACCTTGAAGGCCGTGCCAAGCTGGGCAATAACCTTGTCAATGTCAGCATCATGCTTTGCAGCAAGGGTGCCATCATCAACATAGATGGGCAGGATGACGCGGACCACACCATCAGAGTAGATGTGGCAGGAGCTGTCTGACTTGATGCACTTGAACACCATAGCAGTCAGCTTGGCAACCAACTTGATGCGCCACTGGCGGCCAGCCTGCTTCAGCCCATAGATGGACCGGTTCAGTTTCAGGACCTGGCCCTTCTCTCCCTGGGGGAACCCTTCTGGCTGAGTCTTGTAGACATCCTCATCCAGGTCCCCATTGAGGTAGGCAGAAGAGAAGTCGATAGAGCGCAGTTTGAGGCTGTTCTGGGCAGCAAGAGCGAGGATGACGCCAAGAGTAGCAGGTCGGAAGGTGGGGGCAAACACCTCGTGGTAGTCAATGCCATAGCGCTGGCCACGACCATCTGCCACAAGTCTGGCTTTGTAGCGTTCCACAGTGCCATCAGACTTGTGTTTGATCACAAACACCCATTGAGAGCGGATTGGCTTGACCCCTTGTGGCAAGTCGACCACATCCCATGTGCAGTTGCTGAGCAGAGAGTCAATCTCAGATGCAGCTGCAGCGCGCCATAGTGGACCATCCTCCCGCTTGGACGCTTCAAAGAACGACCTGGGGTTCCCAGAGGCTATGGCAGACAACACAGACTGCACTGCAGTAGCGTGAGCTGCTGCCAGCTTGGGATCTGAGGGGTCACCCTCGCGAGCTACAATCAGGGCAGAGGATGACTTCAGAAGCAGCTCATCGTCGCTGAGGTCTTCAGGGATCTCTTCAAAGATCTCTGCCATGGTGCGCCTGGGAGGAGCAGCAGCCGGAGCTGGAGCCCTCCTGGGTGGTGCAGGGACACGATGGATGCCAGCAGCAGCACGACGAGCTGCCACTCCAATTGGAGATTGGGGAGGAGGAGGCAAGGGTGGAGGGTGAAGCGGGGCATCCCCAGCTGGTGGTGGAGCTCGACGTAGAAAGTCGATTTCATCATCACTGCTGGCTGCAGGAGATGGGACTCGTGGTGCAGGGAGAGGATGAGCAGGCGGCTGTTGCTGCTCATCATCACTATCGTCATCAGGGACATACACCGGTGCCGGAGCACGGGGGGGATCCACCAGCATGGAGGAGGGGGGTGCCGCAGGACAGCTCCTCATCGCTTGAGAGGTGCTGCCTGGGAAGTAGCGCTCATCAAACACTGCTCTCTCAGCGATAACAAGTTTCCGAGTCTCTGGGTTGAAGAACAACCATCCCTTGTACCCTGCAGGATAGCCTACAAAGATACACTTCTGGACATGATGCCCAGAAGGACCTCTCTTGTCTCTTTGCACATGCACATAGGCAAGGCATCCCCAAACACGAAGATGAGACACATCAGGCTTTGCCTTGAACTACAGCTCATGGGGAGTCCTGGTGGGGTCTCGAGCTGTGGGGTGCATGTTGCACACATGCATGTATGCAGACACCGCCAATGCCCTGAATGCAGGGGGTTGGCTTCATGTAACATGGCAGTAGAGTGCTCATCAACGGTGCGGTTAGACCGCTCTGCTGTCCCATTCTGCTGAGGCCGCGCCCTGACTGAATGGCGGTGCACAATGCCACACTTGTCCAGATGTGATCTGAACTCATTAGACATGTACTCTCCCCCTTTATCGTCCTGGAATGCCTTGATCTTTAGCCCCCAGTGAGTCTCAGCATACGCTTGAAACATCTTAAGGGCTGCAAATGTCTCACTCTTGTTCTTCATGTGGTATGCTACCTTGAAGCCAGTGTGATCATCAACAAAAGTCACCCTGTGCTTCCAGCCCTCGCGGGTGGGCACAGAGTAGCTCTTTAGATCAGAGTGAATCAGATCAAGAGGCGCTCCAGAACGATGACCAGTTGAGGGAAACAGGCCAGCATTCAGCTTGCCAAACAGGCATGGCTCACAGATGGGGTCTGGCTTCCTAGCAGAGGCAAGCCTCACACCAGTAACCAGCTCTTTATCCATGACTAGCTTGGTATCACTGTGGTGTCCAAGCCGCCTGTGCATCAGGCTGAGGTCAATGGGAAGAGTCCCAGCTGTAGAAACCAGTGCTGAACCAGCAGAAGGGAAACCAGTCTCTCTCACAAATGCCTGACCCTGCTCTGAGATGTCTGCCACAAAGTACACTTCACCATTGCGCTTGAACAGGATGTAGTTCTCCTTCATAAGCACAGTGTAGTCATGGTGAACTGACAGGTATGTAGTGGAGATCAGATTGTGTGACAGAGCAGGGACATAGAGCACATTGGAGAGGATCACAGACCAGCTCCTGGCATGTCCATGGATCAGTGGCCTAAGCACTATCTCCCCCACAAGCTCTGAATAGACCACAAGTCCATTAGCCACTCTGATGGGTGCCCTATGAGGACAAGTGTTCTGCAGCAGGTGCACACAATGGCCACTTCAGACTTGACTGCACCCTTCCTAGGCCTGGGCCTAGGCTCAGGCTCAGGCTCTGGCTCAGGCTCAGAAGCATTGTCCTCTAGGAGAGACAGAAACTCTGGGCATTTTAGGAGTGTGTGGCCATGTTGATAACAGGCATAACACAATGGCTGAGCAGAAGCAGGTGCAGCTGCCAGGGCAGCAGAAGGAGAAAAGACTGATGGATGAGAGTGGGAATTTGATGCCATGCTGTGCTCAAAAATGCGCCCAGAATGATGTAGGGGGTGTATCTATGTAGCTACAGGCTCTCAGGAGTGTGTTGATCTCAGGCACCTAGCTGTCTCAACCTCAGGATCACAGGAATGACTACCTGGTGTTTCCTGATGGACCAAAGAGCACACCCACTTAAGGATAGAGTCCCAACTACTAGTGCCTGAACCACAGACACTATAAGAGCAGAGAAAAAAAAACAGAACAGAGGGGAGCAGAGATGTCAACTGCAGTAGCAGGACTGGGGCAAGCAGGCAGCAGCAGGCAGAGAAAATCAGAGAATGGAAAAAACTCGAAAATCTCAGAATAGATGACTCAGAGGCACTCTAGAGGCAGGGGCCCATAACCTGTTGAAGCAGGAAATGCAGAGAGGACTGGAGTCAACAGTAAGAAGCTCTGCATTGCAAGAGAAAACAAGAAAAGAATCTACAGACCTGGAGTCAACAGTAAGAAGCTGAAGAACTCCAGGGAGGGAGGAACTATCTATGTGGATGGAGCATGTGACTGTACAGGAATCATGTGACTTGGAGTCATGTGACCAGAATGATGGAATGATGGGAACAGTGATGGAATCAGATATCATTAGTGATGTGATCAGTGATAAGATCAGATGGAATCAGATGATCATGTGACCCAATCACCAGAAAGTGATCAAGTCCAAAACCCATCACCAACACTGTACCTACTCCCCGGCCTGCACGCAAAGAGGTTGCTCTCTGTCACGCTCCTGGTGGGATCATTCTCCAGCTCGCACCCTATGGGAACGTTCCCCCCCGCGCGCTACGCAAGACTGTTCACCCGGTTGTGCGCCACACGACCGCTCTCCAATCCATGCCCTGCGAGACTGATCCCCTGTCTGTGTACAATAAGACCGACCACAGGAGACCCCGCAAGCCCCGCTAGCGGACTGGCTGAGCTCAAGAAAGGAAAGCCCAAGCTAACAATGGAACTGGAGCAACAAAGGCTGGGCTGTCAACCACCAAGATCGGGCTGCAACCACCCGCCACAATGAGTGGCTCGACCTCGTTCGCTTAGTGAAGCGCATTGTAACCAGCCACACTTTCCATTGCGTCAAGCAAACACAACTGGATATGTGGAGGGACCACTAGGTGCAGGACGCGGTACTCATACTCCCAGAAAAGTTTGCTGAGGTCAAATTCCACCTCTGGGTCGCTACCATGGACTTACGATTGCCAACTAAGCTCTTGAACCTTGCAATAGAGCATTGTGTTCCCTTCTGTCTCGGCCTCTCACAAGATAAGTTCACAAACTACAAGGACGAGAGCTCCAGCCACTCCCTAGCTAGCCGAGCTATGCTGAAGAGGGAATATGACAATCCCGCCAATTAGCTGTGGGTTAAGTGGAATCCTAGCCCAGATATCTACACCTGCAACTACTTAGCGACGATTGCTTCTTTGCTAGCTAAGCCACATGCGCACAGATTCATTGCCCAAGGAGGGGTCATTGCCTGGATTGCACACAAGTTCAGGCAGCAGCTGGCTAGCTCAGTTCTGAGTGACTTCATGAGTGGGCCTTCTGTTCGCGCCACTCTGTGCAGAAACGGGGAGTGGGATATCCTAGGGCCACAGGCTACCAGAACCATGATGGAACAGGTATCCTCCGCCAAGTGGGCCGGTCTCCTGGGAACTTCTAAGAGTATGGATAGGGATAGCCTGCTCTACCAGGTTTTCCCCTCTTTCGAGTGGCTGTGGGAAGACTTTCCGTCATACAACAGGGAGATCACTCAAGAGGTAGATGTTGGAGTTGGGAATCCCAGCACCAAGGCAGAATAGCTCAGTGGTTAGAGCACTGGACAATCCAAGTCAGAGGTCCCAGGTTTAATTCCTGGTTCAGCCATTTTATTAACAGTAGACGCATACCTGATGCACGTGGCCAACAGGCTCTTGGGCATTAATGACCAAGGAGGACCGGCTCCAGTTAGGGTCTCCCAACATACGTGTGCCCAGTTCTGCAGCTGCGCTAAACAGAAAGCGAGATTGAGCTACTGGGACTCCAACATGGACTTGGGAGTCAAGAAAAGCGACTATGAGGCCTTCCACATGGAGTTGAGCAGGACTTGGGATCAGAGCTGGAACGGAATTGCCTTGCACGCTATGAACTTGAGGAATAAGAGAGAAGAACATGCACGTCCAAGATTGGGGGGCTCTGTGACATAGACAATTGAATTGCATATAATCTCATACGCACGCCTAGATATAGTATATACGTGTATATTGCTATAGATGATCCAGCTGCCATCCTACATCTGATAGGCGGCTACAACAATAACATACTTACTTCTTGCATCCTGACCGTGACACTACCCTCGTACAACTCCCTTTTGTGACGTCGAACGTACTCGACTGGTGCCCAGCATGCCAGGCTTAATCAGACGTAGATTAGACTCCTTAATAATTAGAGACCTCCACCAAGTGGAGAGCCTCTGACTGGTATCCACGCTCGAGTTGCTCAAGCTTTGGTACCGGGTCTGTGACAATCAACAAGGAATAATGTTGAAAAGAGTAGTCAATTCAAAGACTGGAGAATACAACCAAGTAGCTACAGTATTTATACCCAAATCCAGTCTGAGTCATATCTACAACTAATGAGTCATAAGACTATGTACCGCATGGAACGCTGGTCATGGGTTGTAGTAGAACCTTCTGGAGCATATGTCGCGCAGCCTCAAATTGATAGAGATAATCCCTGGAACCCCTAGTCCGGACCGTCTGATGCTGTGATCCGTGATAAGATAACCCGCACCGAGATAAGATAAGATGGTCGATGATAATATGAAAAAGTGGTTGAACTATGACATTGCCCCCTCTCTAGGGTCGATGTCCTCATCGACTAGGCCAATGGGTGTGAAGACATTTTTGTAAGGGTCAAAGAGTTGTTGTTGTGGGTATGGAAGGTGCTCGTCTCTGGGTTTGTAGCAATGGATAAGGTAGTCCCAGTGCCCAGCTTGGAGTATTGGCACAGCGTGAATGCAGGTGTCGGGGTTTGATTGTTTTTTCTCCCAGGCTGCCAGGACTTTCTCTGTGTGGGTGAGATGACGTGATGGTTCCCAGGTGTTTTCGCTATGCAGTCATCCCTTCTATTTGACCAAGTATTGTTTCTCTTGGCCGACATTTTGCTCTTTCATGATCTCTTCAGCTTCCTACTCTTCGGCTCCTCTGATCATCTTGGCTACGGGTCTCTTTTCTCGGCGATGGGGTAGTGGTTCATGGTAGGGTGTCAATAGTGACTCGTTGAACACCAGGTGTCTTTGGTCCATATCCGGCAAATCTAGCTTCCATACGGCTGCTCCAACCTTCTACAGTATCTTGTATGGTCCCAATCTTTTGTCGCTCATCTTCTTTGATGGTCTGTCTGTCTCGATATTTTCCCCCTCTATGTACACCTTCATCCCAACCTTCAACTCCGGAACTACTTTTCTTTGTTTATTGTAGTATTTTTTCATTTTTTCATTTGCTTTTTCTAGTGCTGCTTTTGCTTTGTCTTGTATTTCTTTGATTCTTTTTACAAATTCTTCCGCCGATTCATTCCTCGATTCCATCCGCTGCTCCACTCCCTTCCATGGGTGATATCTGTGATTTGCTTAGAATGGCAACATTTTGGTGGACGTGTTCATTTTGTCGTTATATGCGAACTCCGCCATTCCTAGCTACTCTGACCAGTCCGTCTGATGATAGTTGACGTAAATGCGAAGATAGTGCTCGATCTCCTGATTCATGCGTTCTGTCTGCCCATCGGTGATTGGGTAATATGCGGTCCCCGGATTCATTTCCATGCCCAACATCCGATTTGTCTCCTTCATGAAGCCCTTGATGTATTGTGAGTCCCTGTCGGTGATGATCTTGCAAGGGATTCCGTGATAGTGGAAAACTCGGTCCCTTGTCAACCATGCCACTCCTTTGCTGCTGATGTCAGTACTAATGGGTTCGGCATGGATCATTTTGGTGAAGGTGTCACACCATACATGAATGGCGTCATACCTGTTACTGACTGGTAAGGGTCCAATTTGATCCATTGAGATGATTTCCCACAGTGCATTTGGGATTGCATGCGGATGCAGAGTCCCCGTCCTTGCTTTTCTGGTCTTAGTTTGTTGGCACGCCTCGCATGTCTGGATGTATTTCTGGATTTGGTTTCCCATCCTTGGCTACCAGTAGTTCCTTTCCACCATTTCCTGTGTTCGGTTGATCCCAGCGTGTCCGGCCAAAGGCGTGTTGTGGTGTAGCCCAATAATCTTGTCCTGTAGCTCCTTGTCCCTTGGTATGTAGAGCTTCCCATGGTACGTGATGAGCCCATCTTCCTTTTCCACCTGACGAGTGACTTCTCTAGGGCTGCTTTGACGCTTCCATCAATCGATCAAGTAGTCTTGATCTCATTGATTAGCTGCTGATCTTGCCCCTCAAATGTGACTTCTTGTGATCGGAAGAATTCGGGTTTCAGCAGAGTGACATCCTTGTTGTTGTTCTTGCCCTGATTGTGATCCGCTCATCGAGATAAGAGATCCGCCTTGCGGTTGAGTGCGCCGGGCCAGTGTCGTAATGTGAAATCAAACTCCGCCAGTTCCGTAATCCATCGTGCTTGCCGTCGGTTAAGCTTCTGTGGTTTCCTGAAGTACTCGAGATTCTGATGTTTGGTGAAGATCTCGAACGTTTCTGTGGTTCCCAGTAGTAACTGCCTCCATTTGTCCAATGATAGCATGATCACGAGCATTTCCTTGTCGTAGATCTCGTAATTCTGCTCAGTTTTGGTCAATGCATGTGAAATAAACACGATTGGGCGCCAAATGCTATCTTGTTTTTGGCTCAAAACAGATCCTGTTGCCCCTTCCGAAGCATCAGCTTCCAGACGATATTGGCCGGTGTCATTTAGCAGTGCCAAGACCGCGTCCTCCGCGATTCTCTTCTTCAACCCATCAAACGCCGCATGTTCATCCGGACCCCATGATCATCCTGCCTTCCCTGTCAGCCGTGTCAACGGCTTTGCCACCTCCGCATATCCCCAAACAAAACGCCGATAGAAGTTGGTGAAGTTGAGGAACACTTGGACTTGTTTAACGCTCCCCGGTTCTGGCCATTCCATCACTCCTTTGATCTTGACAGGGTCCATCCGCATTGAGTTGTGTCCGATAATCACACCCAAATATTCGATTTCTGTGCATTCGAACTCGCACTTTTTGGGCTTCAGGTACAGCTTGTGCTTTTGGAGTAGTTGGAGTACCCGCTTTGTGATCCGCTAGTGTTCAGCCAGGTTTTCTGTGAAGATCAGTATGTCATCCAGGTAAACTACCACGTGGCCCTTGTTGATCAGTTCTCGTAGTATGTCATTCATCATGTTCTGGAATGTTGCTGGCAAATTGGTGAGACCGAAGAACATGACTAAGGGTTCGTATAGGCCCTGGTTTGTGCGGAATACGGCCTTCCATTCGTCACTCTCCTTGATCCAGACATTGTTATGCCCCCATCGGATATCTAATTTTGTGAAGAACTTGGCACCGCACAGCTTGTGAACTAATTCGGAGATCAGCAGTAACAGATATCGATTTCGGATTGTCATCTCGTTCAGCTTCCGATAATCTTGGATGGGGCATAGCAAGCCGTCCTTCTTTTTGACAAAGAAGAACACTGAAGCTATGGGTGATTTTGATGGCCTGATCCGTCCGCTGGCTAGGTTCTCTTCCAGGAATTTGTCTAGTTTGACCTGCTCATTTCGTGATAGCGGGTAGACTTTGCAGTCCACTGCTTTGGAGCCGGGTTTGAGTTTGATTGCATGGTCCCATGCTCGTTGATCCGGCAGCGAGTTGAATGATTCTTTTAGCCAAAGATCCACCTCCTTCCCAAAGTCGACCAACAAGATTGATTCCCCTTCTTCCAGATCCGGTCCGTTCGTGTTCAGATCAATTGCATCCATATCAATCATTGCCTGGTGCTCCTCCTGACCCCTCATTTGACACCGCTCCGGGCATCGGCTGAATCTCATTGTCTACTCCTGCCAGTCCACCTCGGGGTTGTGTTCTGTCAGCCAATCAAGACCAATGAAGATCCAGGCTTTTCCTAGACATGTCAGGAGGAACGTGCGGGTCTCCACATGAGGACCAATTCTCATCCTCAAGTCAATGTAATGTGTGATCTGGCCGCTGATGTTCTCGGTGTTGTCGGTATTACGCGCCACAATGGGTTGTGGAAGCTCTTGGATGTCCAATTTCTCCGCTCGTGCATAGTCAGTGTCAATGCAGCAGGTACTGCACCCACTATCGAGCAGCGCCTTGACCCCACGTGTTCTCCCCGAGTCCAGGCTCGTAATCTGAACGTACACGTCCATTGAATGCCTCTTCCTATCTGCCTGGTAGTTGCATAACTCCTGTTGGAGTTGGGAATCCCAGCACCAAGGCAGAATAGCTCAGTGGTTAGAGCACTGGACGATCCAAGTCAGAGGTCCCAGGTTCAATTCCTGGTTCAGCCATTTTATCAACAACTCCTGCGCCAATCTGCTGGGTTGGGGTCCCTTCTGTTTCTCGGCCGCCAATTTCCTCTGGACGGCATCAGGCACCCTGGTTCGTTTGGGTGCTTCTGGAACCTCGATTTCGGCAGATTCCTTAGGCGCTTCCTCCTTTTCCAAGGATCAAGCCTCCGGAGCAATGCTCCCCTTTTCAGTCTTTGTTGATGTGGTTTCTTCTCCACGAGCCATAAATATGTAGGAGTCCAAAATTAATTTGTCCGCAGCTTTCTGATCCTTTTTACTCTGTAAATACTCTCTATTTAAAGCTATTTTTCTTTGACGTTCCTTTTCCATATCAGCAATGAGAAAATCATGAATATTAGTACGTAGTGAGTCTGAGATTGTGTATGTATGAGGAGAATCGTTCATATCTTTAATCGAAACAAGTACAGAAAAACGTCCATAGTCCGGACGCTCCACTTCCTTGGCTAGAGGAGTGGAGCGCTTCAAAAACCCTTCTCGTGCAGCTTCTCGGTGATCTCCTTGAGGAACTTGTTGTCCTTGTCCCCGTTCTCGATCTCTTCTAGCATCATGGCCCGATTGAAGAACGTGCACTTCTTCCTTGGCTCCGGGCAGTTCCGCGCAATGTGCCCAGGCTGCTGACAGTTGTAGCAGATGATGTTGCGGCTGCGGGCGTTGGTGCAGTCGATTTCCATCGGAACTGGTTCATCGGCGGCAGGTTGTGCCGGAGCAGGTGTAGGCATTGTTGGAGCCGCCTGCGGGCGGAATTGGGGAGGTGGTCGTGTTGTGGGATGCCCGTAGGATGCCTTGCGTAGCTGGTCACGCAGAGCATTGGCTTCGATGTTGATGCACCAGGCTTTGAACACCCCATAGGCCTTGGGCAGAGGGACACCCGTGTTGTAAAGGCAACTGGCGATCTCGCTGCTGAGTCCGCGCTCCAGGAACTTGATGAGGATATTGTCTTGGTCCCCCTTCTTGTATTTGCCCTTGTCATTGGTGGTGTCAACCACATTGTATCCCGCATCCGCGGCCAACATCTCAAAGTCGGAGATGTAGTCCGCAAAGGATCGTTTGTTTTGGCGCAGGGCCATGAGTCGGGCAGCAGCAACTTGCTCTGCATTGGAGTCCCCAAAAGCCCTCTGCAGTTCTTCCAAGAAGGTCTTGACCGTGACCCCTGCCTTCAGACCCTCGAATCCCCCAAAGTTGTGTTGCTTCCAGTTCATTGCCCATCTCGAGGCGGCGCAGCTCGTGCCGGCCTCGTTACGGAGGTAGGAAAGAACAAAGAGGATTTTGGTCTCATCCAGTGAGAATTCCGACCGATAGGCACCAATATAGGTGGTGCAAGAGTCTACGAAGCCCAGATATTTGGACTTGTCACCATCAAAGTAGGGGGGTTGGCGGCAAGAGTGATATGGTGTCCCGTCATGGTACGAGCGGATGTGGTAGGTGGAGGTGAGGGTGGTTGTTCAGAGGGTAGCTCGTCGAGATCTGGAATCTTGTCTTCAGGAGGTGGCAGGGCGAGGTAAGGAGTAGAGGGCCCGGGTTGGTTTTGGTACGCCAGATCGGGCAACGAGGGTACAATGGGGGGAGGAGACGGGCTCCCAGACAACGATGGGAATTGGAATGAAATGGTGGATTCGTGTGCTGTACAAGCACTCGAGGAGGGGTTCTTTTGCTAGCAAAAAGATCCCGGGCCTATCTCTTCACATGCCTGATGATCCCGAGGTGCGTTTTCCCGAAGGTCTCCACAGCACTCCTTGTAGCTACCATAAGGCTTGGGTCGGGCTCAACGTTACTTGTGGCCTGGTGCTGTTTGCTTGATACAAACCCTTCACTGCGATAGTGGAGGACGACTAGATGATTCGGCAGAAAGGTAAGTGGATTGTCAAGGGTGTAGAGGATATAGCGGGCGTAGCGGTGAGGGATGCAGAGGTAAGAGGTATGAGGTAGGAGGGTATGAGGGGAGTCTTCGAATTATGTGACAATCAACAAGGAATAATGTTGAAAAGAGTAGTCAATTCAAAGACTGGAGAATACAACCAAGTAGCTACAGTATTTATACCCAAATCCAGTCTGAGTCATATCTACAACTAATGAGTCATAAGACTATGTACCGCATGGAACGCTGGTCATGGGTTGTAGTAGAACCTTCTGGAGCATATGTCGCGCAGCCTTGAATTGATAGAGATAATCCCTGGAACCCCTAGTCCAGACCGTCTGATGCCGTGATCTGTGATAAGATAACCCGTGCCAAGATAAGATAAGATGGTCGATGATAATATGAAAAAGTGGTTGAACTATGACAGGGTCGTAATTATTACATTTTACCTAATCCAATTCCATTCGCAATTCCGGATTCCGCTACGTCTGTCTAGTTGGAAAAAGCCCTACGCATTACAGATGAGTTTAAGCAGGTTCAGACCAGTCCAGATTTTGTTACCTCTAGCTGAAACCTGAACCAGACCATCAGTTCAGTCCAGTTTTGGGTGTCTTGGCAATCTGGACCTGGGGTCTGGTTCAGGTTCAAACCAGGTTCACTTAGGTTCTGAACTGGACCACAGCAACACTGCACACAGGTGAGCTGCTAGACACTCTTCCAACCACTTGCCTTACAAATTACAGACTGTCACAGAGAGTTGTAAATACTTGTAGAGTGTTCTAGATATATTCCTAGAATACTATGTAAGCTAGGAGGTAATGGGCAGTAGACTCTTCAGAGTTGATAACCCAATGCCTCATCACATGCAACACAGCTAACAGTGAAAAGTGTCCACAGGCATATGGATGAACTTGGGAGGTTAAGACGAGTTACAACTTGACTTGCTCTAGTTACCTTGAATAATCAGACTAACTCACCCAGCTTCTCAGTGCTAACTCTCACCCAATTCCTCAGTGCCAATTCAAACGGACGGCAACACCGACTCAGTCTAATCAAGACCCGTTATTTGGGAACAGCGCGATCATTCCGAAAACTGATATATCCATGCATAACAGTGACTAATATTGTTCTAATAGTAAAGGAAGGTAAACGATGCCTAGGTCCGTGGATTGAACGTTCATATGCGTAGCAAGATAGAAATGAGGTAAGCTGTCCATGTTCTAAGCCGTGCTAAGAAGCGCTCGATCAATCGCAGCATTGATGGCAGATTTTCTCGAAGTCAAATCCATTCCAAAGCGAGCCTCCAAGCGTCTGCGAATCTCTCGTTTGGTGATTGAATTGAGATCTGCTCCACGAAGAGCGTCTTGAACAGCTTGGTGGAGCTCAGCCTCGGAAGGAGATTCATCCCCACTGATGCCATGCACATCGAGGTAATTCGTGAGCGGCCGAGAGTCGGGCATCATCGGCTGAACGTGGTAGAGGGATTGGGGAGTGTTCCTGCCCGATTGATAGCCTGGCAGAGGGAGAGGTGCATAGCCACCGGCTTGAGATGGGGCAGGCGAGTAACTGCGAGGTTCATATGTTGTTTCTCGACCGTAGAGCGACGCCGTGTGCGACTCGGCATAATGACTGCGCAATTTGGGAGGTGGTGCCCATGACCCAATGCTATGGTTCGACTCCTTGTCCCAAAGCTCATTTTCCTGCGACATCGTTAGCAGTGGTTAGAAACCAGGTTCCGGCTGCCTACATAGTCGTTCCATGACTTGAGAGGTATCACTCGGGGATCAAATTTGCCTTCGTCCTGCACCGATTAGATCAGCACAGGGCCGTACGAAGGCAGTCAAGAACATTACATGAACGATCATCTTCTTTCCTGATTCTCCGAGCACGACACGAGTCTGACCCCAGGAGAAGTCATCCATCCGCCAGAAAGAGTAGAGCGGCAGCATGAACGAGAACACTGGGATGGCGAGGACATAAAAGACCATCCATCCTATCATATCCCATTTACGTCGGAGAACGAATACTAACGCTTGGATAGCATAGATGGCGATGATCATCACCAGTGAGATAGTCTGGATTTGCTGGTGCTCAGCCGCCACCGTGTACACGAGATAAACGAGCTTTGTGAGGGAAGGTCAGAGGAGAGAAGCGACACGAGTTGGCTGCTTACATAGGCAACAGTGACTGGCTGTGTGAGCGTAGAAACCAAATCGATCATCACTATGAAACGCATCGAGAAACAACAGAAACCGCAGAGCTGCTCCAGAAACACCAGTTCTCCCAGGTTGTGCACTGTCGAGTTGATCCATCGGCGACGCTGAGACAACAAAACCTGCCAATCGTCTGGGGCGACCGTGAACGCATGAGCATCCCGCACGAATTGGGTTTTGAAGGTTGGGAAGTGCTTCAACAGCAGAGTGGTAAGGTATCGATCTTCTCCAAGATGCAGCAGGTTTTTCATGTGCAGGGTGTCCACGCGGTTTTCTTGATACTCTTGAATCAGCTGGTTCGATATGAGCAATGGCTTGTGGGTGTCTGGCGTGCGGAGTCGATAGAGCGTGAAGCATCCGGGCAAGCAAGTGACAGATCCGAACAGACTCTCGAAGGCTTTGGCCATGTTGTGAGAGATGAAATATTCATAGACTTGCATCATCGTGATGATCGACTGTTTCGCGTTGGCCAGATGCGTTTCTCCACAAACACCTAACAGCTTCTTGTCGTGTATCATCCTGTTTTTCGTGTGAAGAAACATCCCAGAAACATTGCAAAGCACTCACGACGACACTAAGCGATTCACGGAGAACTGATCCACGGTCGTATCGGCATCAACCATGAACAGATATTCATAGAAAGTCGGGTTGACACCAATCACGTTTTTGATCTGATGATACATCTCCAGCTCGAGGGGATTCATAGGCGAGTTGAAGTGGACCTTGTTGAGGAAATGCATCAAAAGCATCTGCGAGTCTCGCTTTCCGCGATTACCCGGCCGCGATCTCTCCGTCGGTTTCCCGATCTTGGCCACAACAAGGTACGGGACCACGTGACCTTTGCACTCGTAAAGACCCGAATATACTTTGCCCATGTTGTGCTGCTTTGCGCCTTCACCGAGGGATAGGAAACTGAGAGGCTCCGGGTCCAGGTTCGGGTCAGCACCTAGAATGTCGAGGACAATGCGAGGGGTGGGTCTGTCGTTTCCGGAACCGACGATCATTCCATCGCAAATAACGACCAGAAGTTTGCGCTTGTCGTCGTACTTCAGCTCGGCGAGCGAGTCAATTGTTCGACGTAGAGAAGAATCGCCTTCCGTATAGCAAGGCACCTGGCAGATCACAAACTTGTCGTGATCCTCAGGGGCTCGGACGCTGGCGAGACTGATCGAGGCTAAGAACTTGAAGCCGATAACCGAAACCATGATGATGGACAGAATGAGCAGGATGTATGTCGAAAAGACACATTTTGCAGAATCTCGAGCATCGACTTTCGCAACGAGGAAGAGATTGCGTAGGCAAACTCTCTGCCGGTCAAGCTGAGCCGATGTCAACCCGTTGTTGACGAGGTTGTCCACGTCATGGGTGATATCTCCACCGGCCTTGAGCTTGAACAGAGACACGAGAGAGTCCGCCAGAAAGTTGGTGTTGATGCCACCAGGAGGGGCCTGTCCATAGGGAGCTTGTAGACCACGAGGGTTCTGGACGTAGTCGGATAGGTCGTATACCATCCCGTTGTAGACCGCAATTGAACTACCGGCGTTGGCCTTGCTCGCAATCTCCTTGGGAGTCAACCCGACGAACCCACGACGAGCCATCCATCGCATCTGCACCATGCTCTCGAAGTACCAGTCTGGCCGCGAGTCGTTGGTAAAGAACCGGAAATCATGGTATTGCTTGTTTTGGTCGGTGTTATTCGTGGAGGAAAGCACGACGTAGGGGCTGACACTACCGTCTATACCATTGCAGAGCGCGCTGACCTGCCAGGGGTATAAGATCGTGCGGTGAGAAATATTCGCACGGAGAGACTGACCTGTACGGGGAAAACACTATCAGCGCTGGTGCCTCCGTATGTTTTGAGGATAGTCTTCGAGGGAACAACAGAGACTGAGCGCTGATGCAGCTCCGTGATGGTATTGAGATCGAAAACCTCGCCGCGAATGGAAGTGTACACGTTATTGGCGTTCAGTATGTAGCTATGACTAGCCAATTCAGAAGAATTGAAGACATGCTCGGTTGGACAAATGAGTTTGCCCAAGAAGACGATCACAAAAGCTGTGCAGAGACAGACAAACCAGATGAGGAGGTTCAGAGCCAGTTTCTCCCGCCAGGCCTGGCGCACATCTTCACGTTTCATCCTGCCGAGGTATGAAAGACACGGATTTGGAACCCACCAGGTCAGAATCCAACAGAGAGTGACCCAGCGACGACGAGCACTCGATTCCTTCAGCACTTCCACCGTCTCGCCCTCCTGGATTTCACCAGCGAGTGCCTCTTTCTCGAGCAATGGGCCACCACGAGTCCCGCCCTTTGTATCGCCTCCAAACATGTTTCGTGATGGGGCATAGCTCTCGCTTCCAAAAGCGGATGCCGAGTCGTCAGCCGACGTATATCGGCTTCGGGCATCGAAGTCGGAGTCGGCTACACCACCACCGCGTAGCGATCCGCGCTCGTCGAAGCCGCCGTATTCGTCCTCGTAAAGGTCGGCCCGCTGAAACGGTGATGCATGCGAGACAAGTGGCAGTGCTGCCGAGGAGCCCTGAGGGCCAGCAGTCCCGTATGGATCACTGTAAGCGCCGCCAACAAATGGTGATGCCTCTCTGGAGTCGGTCATGGTCGCAGGGTAAGGCGCATAAGGATCGGAGATGGGATTGCCGATCTCTCCTTCTCGTTCGCGATTGCGCTTCTGTTCATCGGTATCCCGGGCACGAAGCATATCCTCCAGACGGTGAAAGGCTCGTTGAGTGAGGAACACCTACAAAAGGCTCAAGCGGAGAAGCAATACGCGGTTGCCACACACCTTGTTGATCCCCAATACGACATCCGACTCAGCCAATCCAAAGGCTGCAGTAGTCCTCTCGATTCTCTCCCGATCCTCCCCATTTTGGAGGCCCTTTTCCGCCAGAATTGATCCATACCGCTCGCAAAATTCCTCAACGCCGACCTTCACTTCCCAGACTGCCACCGAGCCCTTCCCCACAGCGCTTGAGCCTGAGCAACGGACTGCGACCTGGGCGAGGCCGGCACTACGAACCTGACCCTTGACACTGCGGCCCTCGAGCTGATTCGGCATCTGTGCGTCATTCGGGTTGATGCAATACACATTCCAGGTTTGACACTCGGAGAGCGTCGCGAATAGGGTGTCTAAAGCCGCACGGAAAGCACCGGTGACAGCACTGGGACCGCCAGCCGATGGAGATCCGTCGCCGACGGCACCGGTTAGGTCACCGTCCTCCTCCTCAACAATGTCTGCTGCGAGGCCCGGAGACATTGGCCCGCGTCGTGTGGTATTTCGCCGACGAGTTGATGGAGCGCGCATTGGCTTGACGGGTTGTTGCGCAGCGACTATGGTCTCCTCATTTCGCGGATGGGCCTGGGTCGCGATAGCACGTGCGTTGAACAGACCTCGAACGAAAGGGTTCACACTGCCAGTTCCTGCTGTCCCGGTTGCGGTCGCCGCGCTTTCCGCTTCACCGCGAAGAAGTTGAACAAAGTCGGGGTTCAAGGCATCCAAATTACGCTCAAGGAAGCCTTCAGCCGAGTAAGTCACAGGTCCATTGAAGTGACTGATAGTAAAGGACGGAGCGGTGCCCATCCCGTTCGCGGAGCCGCCGGTGCTGGGAGCGCCGGTGCACTTGAAAGACGAGTGATTGCCCCAACGCTTCTGGAACGCCTCAATCATGGTGGCATCCGTCTTCTTTGGAGCTCGTCGTGTCTGATCGTCCATGATATGCAGCAAACCCCCCGGGCGATTCTGCAGCAAGCGCATACACTCACTATTGTCGAAGTACGGAATGGTGTGCGGCACGAATCGTGGGATGAGACCTTCAGCTGTGTATTCCGCAACATGGGCTTCGAAGAGTGCGTGCTGCGTGAAAGCATGCAACCGTTCGTTGGCAAAATTGATGCAGAACTGGTCCAGCGAATTGGAACGCGAAGACAGGTTTTGCGGACCGGGAAGATCAAACAGGCCGATAAAGGAGGCGAAATCCTCGCGGCACAGTCGCTGGTTGATATGCTCATTGAGCCAGGCAAAAAGCAGCCCATATAAGGTCTTCGCAAGGTCGTCTCGATTGTCGGCAGCACTATCTGGATCGAGAAACACTGTGCACAACTCCTTCTTGACCAGCTTCGTCTTGTACGAAAGTGTTTGCTCCAGGGCGCTCGCATGAACGCCCAGAAAGTCGGCAACGATTGCACAAACATCGGTGTTGCGAACCACTGCGGCATCTTCATCGCGATTGCGGTCAATCATGAACTCGAGATTGCCTAGGTGAAGGATCGCAGCGACAAGTTGACACGTTTGAGCCACATGTCGCTTTGATAAGCCGATGGCCTTGAGCGCTCCCTTAAGTTGCTCGAAGCGAATCGCATCATCGGTCGGTCGCTGGCTGGGGCCCATTCCCGCCCGTAGCTGGCCAACGTAACGATAGGTGCCCTTGTCGACAAGATGCAAATGCGCTCGTTCCTCAGCAGACGCGCCGGCAATGAGGTAGTAGAAGATGTGAAAATTTCGCTCCCCATTGGGGGCTCCGGAGACACGACCGCGTTCCAGATAATAATCCAGGGTCTTCACACCGACCAATCGCCCTCGTTCGCTGAACTGCAACTCGGTATATTTGCCGAAACGGGAGGCGTTGGGGTTGAATAAGGTGCGCGCATTCCCGAAGGATTCAAGAACAAACTCGGCAGCAGGTATCTGGGTACCGAGCTTCGCACCCTTTTTGCCGGCAGCGCTGACGCTGAGTTCAAGCAATGTCTTGATTGCGAGCCGCCGATTCTCCGATTTGCCGCTCGCCGTTTCACCGCTACCAAAAGCTCAATGTATGGTGCTGCTGGGAAAGCAAGCTACACACCTGAAGAGAAGGCACTGATCCTGTGCAGTTCGCTTCATGTGATAATACGCATTATTCGCGAGTTGGAAGATGTGAGGTGGTAATGTCTGCTTGTCCTCGCTGGTATCACAATACTCAGCAGCATATTTTTGCAGAAAAGCGTCTGATGTTGAGGAGACATATTTATGTGGATTGAGCGCGACGAGGGCTGAGGTGCCAAGACTTGTATATATGATGTCGGCCATGAATCGCTCGCGGAGACAGGTGACAATGACGTCGTCCGAAGGAGTAGGGAGGTACGACAGGTCCTCAACCGTTTCGAGTTGGGCCATTGAGGTTTGACGACTCATGTCCGTGGCTCGTTGAGTATGGAGACGGATGGGGGGACAACCCACCCGTGGTGGGAGGTAAGGGAAGCTGGAACAGATTTTAATTCGTCAATGCTTCAGTGCAGAGTTGATGCTCACGGGAAATGAGGAAAGAGAGGGAGGCCCTGCGGTGGTCGCCAAGCGGTGGTAAGAGTAAGAAACGGATGACGACCTCCGTCACCACGTGAGTGGCGATGCTCCACAACACTGCCACACATGGTTTGAGCACAAGGCTTTGGACTGTAGATTAGTGCTGTGCTTTTAATCATTTTGCCCCTGCTAGCAACCAATACTAGCTGCTAGATATTGTCGCGTTGCCTGCTAGGCTATTAAATATCAGCTAAAAGCATTAATAGCCTAATAAATAGCATGTTAAAAAAATGTTTTTAAAGACGAAAAAAGTGTAATAAAACTATCTAGTCATCGTCCGAGTCAGCATTTGGATCCCATTCTGACTCCGACTCTTGTTCCAGGACAACAGCACATTTATGAGCCATTGCAGCGGGAACAGACGAAGTCTTTGTCGGGTTGATCAGCTCTGCCAATGCGGGGCTCTGCAATCAAACAAACTTGGCAACAGCCCACTGAACGGAAGATCGGCAGATGAAAGGGGTTTCCGTCGGTTCTTCGTGGGCAGGAGCAGACTCGATGGTGTCATTGACACAATCCGACTCGTCCAAATCAAATGGATCATCCTGATCAAAGAGCATCCTCTCCAATGCCTCGGTATCAGCACTGCTCGGAGCCGCGTTCTTGTCATTCAGAAGGTCCATCAGCGTTGGCGCCAAAAGAGTGACCGTAGATTTGCTGGAAAGATCAATGTCGGAGACGCGGACATTGGCGGTGGACGTGTGCGAGTAGTTGCCTTCTCCGAAGCCGTACTTGTACCACTGCAACAACTGGGCTGAATGGACAAGGTTTTCAGCAGTCATTGAGCTTTGCCGAGCACCGTTCATCCAGCCAAGAAGAGAAGCAGTGCGTTCATTGCAAATCTCGGAAGGTGAAACAGAGAAGAGAATGATGGCCACGGTCTGTGAACAGAGATTAGTGAAGCATTGATGAACGTAGAACATTCGGATGCGTACAGCAAGAACATCCGCATTAGAATCCTTCTTCATTTACTTCCAATACTCGAGAGGCTTGTCATCTCGAGTGATATCCGACCGTTGATGGAAGGGAGCATGTCCGCAAGCGTAACGTACAAGTTGCTGTGTCAAACGTTTTGCATCGCTCTTGACTTTCCGACCAACCCGCTGCTGTTTGCCATGCAGGACGGCCCGAACAGAGAGGCAGATTGTCCGAAACAACTCCGTCCACTGCTTGGGAGGGTACTTCTCGCCCTCTCAAAGATTGAGCAAGTTTAGCTTCAGTCCACCGTGAGCAAGATAAACTGCAGAGTGTATCAGTACAGTCGAGTTGCTCATCAGGAATACTTTGATGGGGAATATCCGTCATCTGGAATGCAATTTTGCCCTTCCCAGGTTGGGAAGGCTTGAATATTCCATTGTTGCTCATCCGGAATAAGGAATACAACTGTGTGATTTTCCTCAGCGTCATATTCCTTATCACGGGCCATCAAAGTGGAGGTTGCTTTTCCTCTTTCATTGAACAATGGTGAACAGTGGACGCACAATGGCCTCCCAACTTATATATAATGCCTGGAATACACTCTTTATTTTTTACTTTCATTATGCCTGCCGAACCTAAACAGAAGTCTCGTGCAATTCGCGCCAGTGACCGTGATCCGACCCAAGCTCTTGCTAAAGCTGCACAGCATGTGAAGCCAGGTCCAAAGCCAAAACAAGCTCACCGCTCTTCTGCTATTCTTAGACAGGACCGGCGGCAGAATCTGACGCAGTATGACTGGCTTCAGGTTGTTCAGCACATTGACAAAAACCCTGGAATCAAACAGAAAGCCGTAGTGGATTACTTTGCGACACGATCCACGGCCGAAGGAGGAAGACTGTTGTTTACTCAGGGTGCTCTATCAAAGCATCTCAAACCGGACAAGAAGGAGGCTCTCTTGAAACTTGCTGCTGAGAACTCCGCTGCACTCTCAAACAAGCGCGAGCGAATTGTGACTTCGCCCGAAGTTGATCGGGCTCTGGGCTTTTGGGTTCTTGATATGGAGCAAAAGCGGCGCTCTGTGACAGGTGCCATGCTCATCGAACAACGGAAGAGATTTGAGGAAGCACTGAAGATTCCCGATGACCGTCGCTTGCGTGGCACAGGTTGGCTTGACTCCTTCAAGAAAGCGTGCGTGTCTGCCCAAATATGGATCTCAATTCTTTACTGAACTTCTTAGACATGGTCTCATTGAATGGCAACGTCATGGTGAAGCTGCATCTGTCAATCTCGAAGCCGTGGACGCAGAACGTAAACGTTTGGTCAAGATCTGTTCCCGCTATGCTCCTGAAGACATCTGGAATGCTGATGAGACCAGCTTCTTTCCATCGATGCCTCCGGACCGGACCCTTTGCACTGCGCCAATGAATGGGACCAAGCAGGACAAGTTCCGCATCTCTGCTCTTGTGGCGTGCAACTCAACAGGCACAGAGAAACTGGACTTGATGTTCATTGGGAAGTTCATGAAGCCTCGTGTGTTCAGAGGTGTAAACCCTGCGAACATGGATCCGCCACTTTATTATCGAGCCAATAAGAAGGCTTGGATGACCGCTGAATTGTGGACAGAATGGATCCGTAAATGGAACGACAAACTTCGACGTCAGAAGCGGCACATCCTGCTTCTCATTGACAACTGTCCGGGACACGTTGCCATGACATACAAACCCAGCAACATCCGTGTTGAGTTTCTGGAGCCGAACATGACATCCTTTGTCCAGCCTTGCGATGCAGGCATCATCCGCTGTCTCAAAGCACACTACCGGCAGGCTTTGGCTATCCGCGTGTGACAATCAACCCAAAAATGAAGTCGAGAAGAGAAGTGAATTCGAAGACTGGAGAATACAACCAAGTAGCTACAGTATTTATACCCAAATCCAGTCTGAGTCATATTTACAACTAATGAGTCATAAGGCTATGTACCGCATGGAGCACTGGTCATGGGTTGTAGTAGAACCTTCCGGAGCATATGTCGCGCAGCCTTGAATCGATAAGGATAATCCCTCGAACCCCTAGCCCGGACCGTCTGATGCCGTGATCCGTGATAAGATAAGCCGTGCCGAGATAAGATAAGATCGTCGAAGATAAGATGAAAAAGTGGCCGAATTATGACATTACCCCCTCTCTAGGGTCGATGTCCTCATCGACTAGGCCAATGGGCGTGAAGACGTTCTCGTAAGGGTCGAAGAGTTGTCGTTGGGGATATGGGAGGCGCTCATCCCTGGGTTTATAGCGATGAATAAGATAGTCCCAGTGTCCAGCTTCGAGAGTTGGTAGGAGGCGAATGCGTGTGTCTGGGTTGGATTGTTTCCTCTGCCAGTCTCTCAGGACGTCCTTCGCGTGGGTAAGGTGACGTGATGGTTCCCAGGTGTTCTCGCTGTGCGGCCATCCCTTCCATTTGACCAAGTACTGTTTTCCTCGGCCGACTTTTCGCTCTTTCACAATTTCTTCGACTTCCCACTCCTCTGCTCCTCCGATTATCTTGGCTACGGGTCTCTTCTCTCGGCGATGGGGGGGTGGTTCGTTATAGGGTGTCAACAGTGATTCGTTGAACACGGGGTGTCTTCGGTCCGTATCCGGCAGATTCAGCTTCCATGCGGCCGCTCCAACCTTCTCCAGTATCTCGTATGGTCCCAATCTCTTGTCGCTCATCTTCTTCGATGGTCTGTCCGTCTCGATATTTTCCCCTTCTATGTACACCTTCATCCCAACCTTCAACTCCGGAACTTCTTTTCTTTGTTTATCGTAGTATTTTTTCATTTTTTCATTTGCTTTTTCCAATGCTGCTTTTGCTTCGTCTTGTATTTCTTTGATTCTTTTTACAAATTCCTCCGCCGACTCGTTTCTCGATTCCATCCGCTGCTCTACTCCCTTCCATGGGTGATATCCGTGATTGGCGTAGAATGGTGATATTTTGGTAGACGTGTTCATTTTGTCGTTATATGCGAATTCCGCCATTCCCAGCCACTCCGACCAGTCCGTCTGATGGTAGTTGACGTATATGCGGAGATAGTGCTCGATCTCCTGATTCATGCGCTCGGTTTGCCCATCTGTGATCGGGTGATATGCGGTCCCCGGGTTCATCTCCACGCCCAACATCCGGTTCGTCTCCTTCATGAAGCCCTTGATGTATCGTGAGTCCTTATCGGTGATGATTTTGCGAGGGATCCCGTGATAACGGAAAACCCGGTCCCTTGTCAACCGTGCTACTCCTTCGCTGCTGATGTCAGTACTAATGGGTTCGACATGGATCATTTTGGTGAAGGTGTCACACCATACATGGATTGCATCATACCCGTTACTGACCAGTAGGGGTCCGATTTGATCCATGGAGATGATTTCCCATGGTGCGTTTGGAACCGCATGCGGGTGTAGAGTCCCTGTCCTCGCTCTCCTGGTCTTGGTCCGTTGGCACGCCTCGCACGTCTGGATGTATTTCCGAATTTGGTTCCCCATCCTTGGCCACCAGTAGTTCCTTTCCACCATCTCCTGCGTTCGGTTGATCCCTGCATGTCCGACCAGGGGTGTGTCGTGGTGTAGCCCAATGATCTTGTCCCGCAGCTCCTCATCCCTTGGCACATAGAGCTTCTCGTGATACGTGATGAGCCCCTCTTCCTTCTTCCATCCGACGAGTGACTTCTCCAAGGCCGCTTTGACGCTCCCGTCAATCGATCGAAGGGCCTTGATCTCATCGATTAGCTGTTGATCCTGCCCTTCAAATGTGACTTCTTGTGATCGGAAAAACTCAGGCTTCAGTAACGTGACGTCCTTGTTGTCGTTTTTGCCCTGGTCGTGATCCGCTCGTCGAGATAGGAGATCCGCCTTGCGGTTGAGTGCGCCGGGCCGGTGTCGTAGGGTGAAATCAAACTCCGCTAGCTCCGTGATCCATCGTGCTTGCCGTCGGTTGAGTTTCTGCGGTTTCCGGAAGTACTCCAGATTCTGATGATCAGTGAAGATCTCGAACGTCTCTGTGGCTCCCAGTAGTAGCTGTCTCCATTCGTCCAATGATAGCATGATTGCAAGCATTTCCTTGTCGTAGATCTCATAATTTCGCTCGGTTTCGGTCAATGCGTGCGAAATAAATGCGATTGGGCGCCAAATGCCGTCTTGATTTTGGCTCAAAACGGATCCTGTTGCCCCTTCCGAAGCATCGGCTTCCAGACGATATTGGCCGGTGTCATTTGGCAGTGCTAGGACCGCATCCTCCGCGATTCTCTTCTTCAGCCCATTGAATGCCGCATGCTCATCCTGTCCCCATGACCATCCAGCCTTTCCTGTCAGTCGTGTCAGCGGCTTGGCTACCTCCGCGTATCCCCGAACGAAGCGGCGATAGAAGTTTGTGAATCCGAGGAAGGCTTGGACCTGTTTGACGCTCTTTGGTTCTGGCCATTCCATCACGCCCTTGATCTTGATTGGATCCATCCGCCTCGAATTGTGCCCAATAATCACACCCAGATATTCGATTTCTGTGCGTTCGAACTCGCACTTTTCGGGTTTCAGGTACAACTTGTGTTTTTGGAGCAATTCGAGTACTCGTTTCGTGATCCGCCGATGTTCGTCCAAGGTTTCTGTGAAGATCAGAATATCGTCAAGATAAACTACCACGTGGCCCTCGTTGATCAGTTCTCGGAGTATGTCGTTCATCATGTTTTGGAAGGTTGCCGGAGAATTCGTGAGGCCAAAGAACATGACCAAGGGCTCATACAGCCCACGGTTTGTGCGGAATGCAGCCTTCCATTTGTCGCCCTCTTTGATCCGTACGTTGTTGTATCCCCACCGGATGTCAAGCTTTGTGAAGAACTTGGCGCCGCATAGATTATGGACCAGTTCGGAGATCAGCGGCAGCGGGTATCGATTTCGGATCGTCATCTCGTTCAACTTCCGATAATCTTGGACGGGACGTAGCGAGCCATCCTTTTTCTTGACAAAGAAGAATGCTGACGCCATGGGTGATTTTGATGGCCTGATCCGTCCACTGGCCAGGTTCTCTTGCAAGAACTCGTTGAGCTTGACCTGCTCGTTCCGCGATAAGGGGTACACCATGCAGTCCACCGCTTTGGAGCCAGGTTTGAGTTCAATCGCATGATCCCATGCTCGTCGATCCGGTAGCGAGTCGAACGATTCCTTGGCGAATACTTTGATGAATTCCCGATATTGATCCGGAATCTTCCCTTCGGTCATTCTCTCCTTCTCCTTTTCCGCTTCTTCTGCGAATTTCTGCGCCGGCGTTTCCTTCAGCCGTAAATCCACTTCCTTCCCAAAGTCGACCAACAGGATCGATTCTCCCTCCTCCAGATCCGGTGCGTCCGCGTCCAGGTCAATTGCATCCATGTCGATCATTGCTTGATGTTCCTCGTGACCCCTCATGTGACACCGCTCTGGGCATCGACTGAACCTCATTGTTTGCTCCTGCCAATCCACCTCGGGGTTGTGTTCCGTCAGCCAATCAAGACCGATGAAGATCCGAGCTTTCCCTAAACACGTCAGAAGGAACGTGCGTGTCTCCACGTGAGGACCGATTCTCATCCTTAGGTCGGCGTAATGCGTGATCCGACTGCTGATGTTCTCGGTGTTGTCGGCGTTACGAGCCACAATGGGTTGGGGAAGTTCTTGGATATCCAGCTTCTCTGCCCGCGCGTAGTCGGTATCAATGCAGCAGGTGCTACAGCCACTATCGAGTAGCGCCTTGACTCCACGCGTCTTTCCTGAGTCCAGGCCCGTGATCTGGACATACACATCCATCGAATGTCTCTTCCTTTCGGCCTGGTAGTTGCGCAGTTCCTGTGCCAGTCTGCTGGGTTGCGGGCCCTTCTGTCTCTCGGCTGCCCATTTCCTTTGAACGGCATCTGGCACCCTCGTGCGTTTGGGTGCTTCTGGAACTCTGATTTCGGCAGATTCCTTGGGCGCTTCCTCCTTTTTCAAGGATTGAGCCTCCGGAGCGATGCTCCCCTTTTCGGTCTTTGTTGACGTGGTTCCTTCTCCACGAGCCATAAATACGTAGGAGTCCAAAATTAATTTATCCGCAGCTTTCTGATCCTTTTTACTCTGTAAATACTCTCTGTTTAAAGCTATTTTCTTTTGACGTTCCTTTTCCATATCAGCGACAAGAAAATCATGAATATTAGTACGTAGGGAGTCTGAGATCGTGTATGCATGAGGAGAATCGTTCATATCTCTAATTGAAACAAGTATAGAAAAACGTCCATAGTCCGGACGCTCCACCTCCTTGGCTAGAGGAGTGGAGCGCTTCAAAAACCCTTCTTGCGCAGCTTCTCAGCGATCTCCTTGAGGAACTTGTTGTCCTTGTCCCCGTTCTTGATTTCTTCCAGCATCGTGGCCCGATTGAAGAATGTGCGCTTCTTCCTTGGCTCCGGACAGTTCCGCGCAATGTGCCCAGGCTGCTGACAGTTGTAGCAGATGATATTGCGGCCGCGGGCGTGGGTGCGATCGATTTCCATCGGAACTGGTTCGTTGGCAGCGGGTCGGGCCGGGGCGGGTGCAGGTGTCATTGGGGCTACCTGCGGGCGGAATTGGGGAGGCGGTCGTGGTGCGGATTGCGCATGCGATGCTTTGCGCAGCTGATCGCGTAGAGCGTTTGCCTCGATATTGACACACCAGTTCTTGAAGGCACCATATGCCTTGGGCAGGGGAACGCCAGTGTTGTAGAGGCGGCTTGCAATTTCGCTGCTGAGTCCGCGCTCCAGGAACTCGATGAGGATATTGTCCTGTTCCCCCTTCTTGTACTCGCCCTTGCTGTCAGTGGAGGTGACCACGTTGTACCCCGCGTCTGCAGCCAGCATTTCGAAGTCGGAGATGTAGTCCGCAAAGGACCGTCTGCCCTGGCGAAGGGCCATGAGTCGGGCGGCAGCGACTTGCTCTGCGTTAGAATCCCCAAAGGCCCTCTGAAGCTCCTCCAAGAAGCTTGTCGCGGTGACTCCCGCCTTTAGTCCTTGGAAGCCCTCGAAATTGTGCTGCTTCCAGTTCATCGCCCATCTTGAGGCGGCGCAGCTTGTGCCGCTCTCATTGCGGAGGTAGGACAGGACGAAGAGGATTTTCGTCTCGTCCAGCGAGAACTCTGACCGATAGGCACCGATGTAAGTGGTGCACGCATCCACAAAGCCCAGGTACTTGGACTTGTCGCCATCGAAGTAGGGGGGATTGGCGGCGAGGGTGATGCGGTGATGTCCTGACATGGTAGGAGCAGGTGCGGTAGGTGGGGGCAAGGGTGGTTGTTCGGAGGGTAACTTGCCAAGATCGGGGAACTCGTCTTCAGGCGGCGGAAGGGCGAGGTAGGGGTTGGAGGGTCCGGGTTGGTTTTGATGCGCCAGATCGGGCGACGATGGTATGATGGGGGGAGGGGATGGACTCCCAGATGACGATGGGAATCGGTACGAAATGGTGGATTCGTGTGCTGTACAAGCACTCGAGGAAAGGTTCTTTTGCTAGCAAAAAGATCCCGGGCCTAGCTCTTCACGTGCCCGATGATCCCGAGGTGCGTTTTGCCGAAGGTCTCCGCAGCACTCCTTGTAGCTACCGTAAGGCTTGGGTCGGGCTCAACGTTACCCGTGGCCTGGTGCTGTTTGCTCGATATGAACCCTTCACTGCGATAGTGGAGGACGACTAGATGATTCGGTAAAAAGGGTAAGTTGGTTGATAAGGGTTAAGAGGATATAGCGGGCGTAGCGGTGCGGGATGCAGGGTAAGAGGTATGAGGTAGGAGGGTATGAGGGGAGTCTTCGAATTATGTGACAATCAACCCAAAAATGAAGTCGAGAAGAGAAGTGAATTCGAAGACTGGAGAATACAACCAAGTAGCTACAGTATTTATACCCAAATCCAGTCTGAGTCATATCTACAACTAATGAGTCATAAGGCTATGTACCGCATGGAGCACTGGTCATGGGTTGTAGTAGAACCTTCCGGAGCATATGTCGCGCAGCCTTGAATCGATAAGGATAATCCCTCGAACCCCTAGCCCGGGCCGTCTGATGCCGTGATCCGTGATAAGATAAGCCGTGCCGAGATAAGATAAGATCGTCGAAGATAAGATGAAAAAGTGGCCGAACTATGACACCGCGCCCTCGATTTGTACACCACCAATGATCCAGAGCCGTTCAAAATTGACATTCTGAGCGGCATGCGCATGCTCGAGAGCGCATGGAGCAATGTCACCAAGGCAACAATTGCCAACTGTTGGAAGCATGCGAAGATCTGTCCCAACAAGACATCGACAGCCGATGTTACGCAAGCAGCGTGGGATGTGATTCTGACATTTGCACGCTCGGAGTCCATGTCTTTGCCTCAGGCCGAGCAGGCACTTGAACACATTCTGGGGACGGATTATCATCCAAAAGATTGGCAGCCTGCACTGGACGCTGTCATGATTTGCGAGGGCGACAGCTTCCAGGCCGAATCTGCCATTCAAAAACTCATGCCGAGCGAGGAAACCGTCTCTCCCGAGTCAGCATCTCCATCCTCGGGCTCATCCCCAATTCAGCACAAACAGTTTCCCGTTGATCGGCACATGCGAAAAGCAGAAGAAGCTCTTTCGGAGACTTTGAAGGACATGTCCAAATGCCACTGCATCCGCGGACCTGCACCTTCACTCGACAATATCCTGAATCCGCTCATTGAGCAACAAGACCCCGGTACAGCGATTCTGGGCTTTTCTGACGGAGACAACACCACCGAAGTGCTCGAGCACATGGAGAATTTGGACAAAGAAGAGCTTGAGGCTGTCAAGGAAGAAAACGAGCCGGAATTTGAGTTTGATCGAAAGGAAGCCATGGCGGCGGCGGAGCTTCTTGAACGGATTGCACGAAACCGACCTGATCTCGACTCGAGGCTCACTCTGGGCACCCAACTTCGGTCTCTTCGCTTGGCTCTCTCAAAGGAGGTCGAGGATGGTAAGAAGCAAACGGAAATCAGTCAATACTTCAAATAGACAGTAGTAGCGCACTCACACACTCAATACAAAGTGTTTTATTCATTTTTGAACAATTTATGTAGTACGGAATAACCGTCATAAGGAATATTGCTGGGCACTTCCAGGCAATATTCCTGATGAGCAACTCGACTGTAGTGTAATAAAGTCAATAACAAACACATACATGGCTGCAAGAAGAACGAAAGCAGAAAGATATTGTGCGATGACTGTGTCATCATCTGCATGAATCTCACATTGTAGATCTCGATGATGCGAGGACGGTAAGTGAGGAAGCCCTTGGTCGGACTTGCAAGCAGTTGCTCGAGATGCCAAGCAATAGTAACCCAGACGTAGAAGACATCCGCACATGTGGTGTTCTGTCCTTCGAGAGTCGTGATACCATTTGCACCTGCCTCGAGAAGCTGGATAATGGCAGATAACTTTGCCTGGAAGCCCGGGTATTGGAGGCTATCCGGATCCAAATAAGGAATGAAGCGTTAAGTCTAGCAGTCAATCAAATCCTGGAATTCAAGCAGCGCAAAACTCACGTACCGCAGCGGTGTTGAATAGAATAGTACCGGCAAGATAGCAGGCCACAATCGCGGGAAAGCACAGCCAAAGAGCGACTGTCTGTATGAACGATGTCCCAAATCGAGTATCCGAGGCGGATTTGAGGCCGGTCTTGATGTTCTGACATTCTTGTTTGGCTGCCAGTGTTTGCATTGCAATGTTTGAATGAGCAAAGTAATTGCAGATGCCCGATACGAGACTGAGCTCCTAAGAGTACTTTGAGACAATGCATGACAGACAGATTGACAGACGTACCGCTTTGAAGAGCTTCCCGATATCTTTCAGAAATAGATTCAGCAAATGGCAGGGGTCATAGATGTTGAGAATCCATGGGAATTTGCGTGCAATTTCTTTCCACATTGACCGCACATTGCTTGCGCCATCGGTAACTACTGCACTATATACACGAGCACCAAAGATGTTGAAAATGCGCTCCTTTGCAACCGTGACAAGCGCATCAGCGGTTGTGGACACAGTACCAAACACATGGCCCAGAGTGAAGTTGGAACGGCGGCTCGGCAGGGTTGTATGAAATGTGTATATCTCATCGTGGCCACGGCTACTCCACCCATCAAGTGACAGTGTCAGGTAGCAGTATGGAAGAAGGAATGCCTTGAGCTGTACAGTAAACGCTGCAAGCTGTTCAGCCAGATGACGTGTGAAGAATGCACTGCGATCAGGTGTCACATAGTTTGGGACCGCAACAAGCAGGAGATTGACAAGCCATGGGTTACCGACAAACGAGAAGGGAAGGGCCGCGCAGATGATGAGTTGGAACAGCGCAAGATCAATCGCTGCTTGACAAACGTCTGTCATCTTGATGGGCTTGTAATACTTAAGAATTGTCCCTTGGTGTGTGCCTGAGCCCAATTCCATGTCTGCAGCTTTAGGATCAATCGGCGCGTCCGCGTCAACATCCATCTTGATTCCCTCCTCTGCCAAATCTGAAGAAGATGGGTTTGAGCCAGGCGGTGCAATCGGAGACACTGCCGCAGTCTTTGTGATCTTGCGGACACGAGGGAGAGGCCCCTTCCCGTTGGCTCTTCCAGCCAGCTCTTCGCACACAGCCTTGTGATAGCTCGGAAACAGCTTTGCAAGCTTCTGATGAACGCACAGGTAAGTGCTCATGTATGCACAATATCACAACAACTCAGGCTTACTGGACAGTCATGGGTGGCATGTTTTCTAATGCGACCCGGGTTTTGGTAGGCTTCACGGTGGTTGCAGCCAATGCAGTACGTGATGACCTGCTGCTTCTTTGTCTTCTCTGTGTCCGCGTAGACCACCTCCTCAATGACTAAGTTATCGACCAGCTTGTCTCCCTTACGACCTGCTTTCTTGGACTTTGGAGTACATGAAGGGCCAATGTCCCCTGGCTGCGCCGCGCCTTGGAGATCCAAGATGCGCTGTTGTCGGATCTTCTCGTGTGTGCGTTGATCATCCGTGCCCGTCAACGCGTTTGAAAGCGTGTTCAAAGACGTGTTCAACGACGCGTTCTTGCTCTTCTTTCTTGGCTTGGCCTGGACGTCCGGATCGGCAACGCCGGGCACCTAAGATCGTTTGAGATGTGTCTCTGCATAGAAAGGGCTACAACTTACATTGGGAGGTACAATACTTTGCTCCTGTGCATTTGAGAGCATGCTAACATGTGCAATCCAAGCGGCCCGCTCCTCTGAACCCGCAGCTGTGTGCAGCTTGATGACCATGACGAAATCAGGAATGGAGAAAGATTCTTGCTCGAGGAATGCGGTCCGTGCCGTGAGAAGGTGGCCCAACTCTTCCTTTGACAGCGGGATGACCAAGGGTGTGGACGCCATTGGGAACAGAGAACCAGGGAAGGGGGAATTCTTACAATCTGGTGCATGTACACAAATCATGCACATTGCACGGCCCCTTTTCGATGTACCCCTGGCCCCTGGGCCCTCGTTTATCTTCTACGCAGCCAATCATATGTACTAATTCAACCCGGTCAACAAAGCTATTGCATGAGATGATTACCCTATTGTATCTCAATTGGACTGCAGGCGCTCGCTGATTGTCTGTATGATACACCGTAGGCCAGTGTGTGTAGGTACAGAGCCTGCTGTTCCCCACAGGGACCTATGCGGTAAATCCATCTGTCCATCTGTCTATCCATTAGATGATCACATTTGTAATTGATAGGAATTAATAGCAAGCCCTTTTGGCCCCTTGGCTGCTAGAATGCTATCTAGCATGCTATAAATGTGCTATTAATCCAATTGCTACCAATCAATTAATAGATAGCACAGCACTACTAAAGACGCTGCTCATTGTTGCAGCCAGTGACGGCGCATACAATGAATGTCGTGGCCACTGAGGCGCAGATATAGCTCTCAGGGCCCATAACCTGTTGAGCACTGGGGAGAGCATCTAGCAGCTCACCTGTGTGAGTGAGAGCTTAGTGTGGGCACTATACGGGGGTAGTCAAGAGACTTGTATTACAGGGTAATAGAGCCCTCCTTATATACAATACAGGGGGCTGTTTGTGTCTATTGATATGAGTTGGCATGACTCTAGATGACACGTGATGGAGTCATAAGATTGTATCACAACATCCATCTGGCAGATGATATTTGATCAACAACTTTGAATTTTGATTGGTATTCCCGCCAATCCAAGCATGTTTTGATGTGTCTGTTTCACTGCTGTTGTGTTTTCACTTCCTTTGCCTGTGCTCAATGTTGAGCACTGGGGAGAGCGTCTAGCAACCCACCTGTGTGAGTTGAGAGCTTAGTGTGGGCACTATGCGGAGTAGTCAAGAGACTTGTTATTAAAGGGTAATAGAGCCCTCCTTATATACAATACAGGGGGCTATTTGTGTCTATTTAGGACGAGTCGACATGACTCTAGATGACACGTGATGGAGTCATAAGATGTGTATCACGACATCCATCTGGCAGATGATAAGATCATCATTTGATCAACACTCCCCCACGCTGAAAACCACAGGATAGTGTTTGAAAGCGAAATCTTCATCGGCCATTCCTTCAGGACGAGTTGAACTCAAGTCCTAGTTGGGACCTGAACTTCTCGAACTTGACGCGTCCTAGGTTCTTGGTGAACATATCTGCAGGATTCTCACTGCCCGGAATAAAGAACAGTTCAACCTCTTCTTCCTCGACTCGCTCACGAATGTAGTGATAGCGGATGTCTATGTGTTTCATCCTGCGGTCTCGGTAGGCATTGCTGCCACTGAAGAGTGCACCCTGATTGTCACCGCAAATGGGTACTGGGATGGTGAGTTTGAACTGGAGTTCCGAAAGGACGCTCTTCAGCCACATCACCTGGCGACTACAATCTGAAATCGCCATGTACTCTGCTTCGGTAGAAGACTGCGCGACTGTGCGCTGAAGTCTAGACTGCCAGCAAATAATCCCATCTGCCAATTTTGTGAAGAAACCAGTGGTAGACCTCCTCTTGATCGGATCAGTAGCCCAGTCTGAATTGCTAAATGCAATGAGCCCTCTATCCATCGCACCAATGAAAATGAGCGAATAATTCCTAGTACCAGCCAAATAACGGCAGATATACAGCGCTTTATGGAGGTGGTCTTGGGACGGATTGGCGGCAAATTGTGACAATTTGGTCACAGCAAATGCAATATCAGGACGTGTGCCTAGCATGATGAAGAGAAGAGATCCAATGACTGATTGGAATTTCTTCCTGAGCTCTGGATCGACTTCATCCTCATTTGGCATTGGAACATATCCAGCCGGTAGAGGGGTCGCTGCGAACTTGGCATTCTGCATTCCAAAACGCTCTAGCACCTTGTCGAGATAGGGAATCTGATCAATCTTGATTGAAGATCCTACTCTACTGAGGCGTACGCGCAAGAACTCTGGAGTATCTTCAGAATTGCGGCATTGCCATTGCTTGTTGAACTCGGCCTTGAGAAAGGCGAGGAGCTTCTTGTTCTTGGAGAAGAACAGTGCATCATCCACATAGACTATTATGACGGCTATGCTGCCATCAGAGTCCTTGTAGAAGAACACGCCGGCATCCGATGTTAGTCGGATCCAGCCCATGGCTTTCGTGGACTTGGTCAGCGCTTTCCACCATGCTAAAGCAGCTTGTTTGAGTCCATAGATTGCCTTGTGCAAGCGCATGACTTTGCGCTCTTGGCCTCTCGCCACAAAGCCTTCGGGTTGTTCCATGTAGACCTCTTCGTCAAGCTCTCCGTAGAGAAAAGCCTTACTGACATTGAGTCCAGACCAATGCCAATCATTGAGCGCTGCAAGCGCCATGACCAACCGGAACGTCTCATACCTGACAACAGGAGAGAATATCTTGTCATAGTCAACACCTTCGACTTGACTGAAACCCTTGGCAACTAGGCGGGCACGTTTTCGGCCATCAGATTTTTGGTCAAAGACCCAGCGACATCTGATAACCTTCCGTCCTTTCGGACGGTCCACAAGGGAATAGACCTTGCGCTGACAAAGTGCCTCTAACTCGTCGCAGCAAGCATCAATCCAACCTTTCTGTTGTTCAGAAGGCAACCGTTTGATATCGCGGAACGTCCAATCGTGAATTTTGGACGTATCAGGTAGGTTCTCATTTGGAACCGCTTTTGACAGCAGCGCCGTGATGAGCTCTACTCCCCCTTCCCGGCATAGCTTCTCCATGCGTGCATCCTCGTCTAGATCATCAGAAGCACCCGCGTTTGAGGAATCTGGTTGCGAGCTAGGGCCGGGAACCCCTGCATCAGCACCGGTTGATGGTTGAGATTGGGAGCTACCCTTATCTTCACCAACATACCGCTTCCATCCTCTGCTGTTCTGAATGTCACGGACTATATCCGTAGGGGTACGCTTTTCCCCATAGACGTTTCCTGGACGTGTAGGCACATTCCGCTGGCGTGAAGACCTTCGAGGCTCAGGAGCTGGTGAAGCTTCCCGACTTGGTCGTGGAATTCTACTTCTACGAGTCCTCTGAGGTTCATCCCGACGCTCTGGCGGTGGGTCCTGACGATTATGACCGTCGTCACCATCATCATTTCCCTGTACGGGAGGTGGTGGAGCCGGATCAGATGGCATGGGAAATAGAAAAGGATTATCTCCATATAGCCAATCTTCTCCGTCTACCTGTGGTGGATCTTGTGGATTCACTGGGTCATCACGTTCTGGAAATTCCTCTCCAACAGGAACGTGGGGTGGTCGATTGCTGTCAGGACAGCGGGGGAACAACTCCTCGTCGAACAATGCCTTGGTGGCAACGAACGTGGAATTGTTTGTGCGCATGAACAAAAATCCTTTCACACCATCAGGAATGCCTAAGTAGGTCATCAGCTCCGATTTGGGCGATAACTTGTTGGCGCGCTTCTCATCAGGGATAAAGACATATGCAGCGCAACCAAAGACGTTTGGAAACATCCGGTTTTTCCTTGTGAAGAGCTTCAAATGGAGTTTTCCATTTTAGACGCCTGATAGGTGTCATATTGTAGATCCGTGTCGCATGTTTTATTGCGAATTCCCAATGAGAATTAGGAAGACAGGCAGTGAAGCGCATGGCTTCTGCCTTATCCATGATCGTACGATTGAAGCGCTCGGCATGCCCATTCTACTGGTGAGCATATGGAGCACCCTTCTCCACTAGAATTCCTTGTTCCGCGAGAAATTCTTCCATTCCCATCCCCATGAATTCTCCCCCATTGTCAATATGCCACTTTTTGATGGTGACATTGAACTGGTTCTTGACCATCGCAATGAAATTGCGCATAGCCTGCTTGGCATCGGATTTCTGCGCAAGGCATACTGTCCAGCCATAGGAGAGTGCTTCGTCAAAGAAGCTCATGAAGTAACGGTACTTGTGATAAGACACCGTGGGAAATTGTTTGAGATCCGAGTGGATCAAATCAAACGGATTCTCCGCTCGTTTTTCGGAAGGCGGGAAGGCACGTTGGTGCATTTTCCCTTGCGCGCATCCTTTACACGGTCGGGTTTCCTCGGGAAATACTAGGTCTTCTGGAAAGCCCTTGGTATTCTTCTTTGCCTGACGTAAAACGTCTTTCGACAGATGTGCAAATCGCCGGTGCATGATCTCATAATCCACCTTGTATACAGTGGACATGGATCGCACTGTCTCAGCCGTGCTAGGCTTTGACATCAGGAAGTACAAGGCAATGTCCTTCCCTAGAGTTCTAAACTCCATGATCGAGAGTGGGGACTTCCCTCGATGTAAGCTGATCCACAATTTGTCTCCACGAACGCAAGATCCTCCTTTGAGTAAGGAGCCCAAAGACATGAGACAACCATGTAATCCTGGCACTAGGTACACTGGATATATCTGAGAAGTCACCATTGTCTTTTCTCCATGCCTTGTGACGTAATGATCAATGAAGGCTGTTCCTTGACCAATAAGGGCAACACGTGTGTTCTTATCAGCGGTCTGAGCAACAATAGGATCTGAGAGCTTCTCATATCCGACCAGATCACTAATCTCCGATGTCACATGGAGAGATGCACCAGAATCAAGAAGCCATAGAGGCCCTAATTCATGATGATGATGATGTTTCCCCTTGCACTTAGAGCAGGCAGCAAAATCGGAGTGCACACAGAATAAATTGGTACAAAAATCATGTGAACGTATCATCAACAAATTTAGTACAGAACCCGGGGCGGCGGTGATTACGCGCTCTGGCTGTGAGCAACAATCAGAATTGTGCATGTGCCCAAGAAGGCAGGGTACTTGCCTTTCGGCAGAAGGAGCGTCCATCTCCTCCAGAAGGGTGTTGAAGTCGACGACCTCATCCCAATTGACGGGTTCAGCCTGGGCGAACTCGCTATCTCCAAACAGA